TTTAAATAACATATTTGATGTTTTAAAAGAGAATTAAGTTTACTTCGAGAGTATATCAATAAAATATAGTCAAGAATAATACATAAACAAACAAAAATGGTATATAGTCACCAAATGGCCTTTGGCCTAGTGGTATACGAGTCTTTGACCTCCTAGAAGGTCAAAGATTCAAACTTTACCAAAGATGAAAAGAATTTGTAAGTTTATTTATTGTATATAAATCTTATATACTTAAAAAAAAGTTTATGGTCAGGTTTTTATGTTCAAGTTTCAGTCATCACATATACAATATAAACACAATATATCAATTACAAAAAAAAAATAATTGAATTAAGAAAATATAGGAAAAAGTACAAAAATTGGTACAAGTAATAAAAAGGGACCCTAAGATGCCAAATTAAGTTATAACAAACCTAAGTACCCAAATGAAAGATGATAAGATAAGGACCATTCTTGTGCCTAACTTTCCAACCTCATCCCCATTACTTCAAGTTCAACAAATGAGGTCATTATAAAGCCCAAATTCAATCATGCCCAAAATGGTAATTTCACAATCTAGGGTCTCTCATGCCCTATCTTATTCATTAATGTATGTTTTTATCAAATGGGAACAATTAAGACCTTGACACCCTCCTAATTTCCATCTAATCTCATCCTTCTTATTACGTCATCTGATTTGATGTGTTTTCCGGTGTCGTTAAGTTATCTGTGTTCACTAATGACAGGCTTCAACCCTCCCATTTGTTGCATTATGAACTCGTATGAAATGAGGGTTGCTGTTTATTTCAGTTCAATCGAAGGGTTTAACGGTTGAAAAGATGTTGTGTGTGAGTTGAGTAGCGTCTCGTGAAAGGAGAAAGGTGATTTGATTTAGCACCAGTACAATATGGCATCATGACACTTGATAATTCATCAGTTTGCCATACATGTTATGATATTTCTTATGACATGATATCTCAACCAAAACTGGATTTATTTTGATACATCATATATAATATATATATATATATATATATATATATATATATATATATACTTGACAATCTAATGATTAACGAATACCAAGTTCGTTTTATTTACTAATCATTTCATTTGATTAACATTCAAATCATGTTGAAACATGAATTTCCATAACAAAGTATGCTAACAACTTGGCTTTGTGGTGCATTGGTTAAGATTCAAGGGGACGTAATGGAAAATCTTATTTATACTGAGTTTGAATCTAGGTGTTGTCAAAGCCCTTGTGGGCCATGGAGGTTTATATGCGATAACTCCAGGTCATTCGTGCTCGTACGAGGGATTATTCGGTACACTTAAGGCGGCCTGAAAACACACGGTTACCCAAAAAGATGAGAAAGTATGTTGGTGCGAAATTACAAGATCATATGATCGTGATAAGGCACCCGAATCAACTTAAGAAGCGTGTTGTTCTGAAACTCTGAAAAATATTGTTCAGAATGTGTGAGTCAAGACTTATACTGAATACAAACTTCGTATTCAAATTGAGGTAGAATACAAGTGATAGAAAATTGTACAATAGAAAGAAAAAAAAAACTAATTAAAAATGCAAAGCTTTCTATAATTTTAAATGAACATAAACATATACGAATGATCGTGTGAGAATAAGAGTTTATGTGAGAAATATAAGAAAAGATTTGGATCATTGACCACTTTTAATCTCAAACCAACCCATGAATTGCGCTTTAGAATGAAATTGATCATGTGTTTCTGGTAAGTGTTGATTTAGTGGACTCTTCAATTAGGATTGATCCAATGGTGTAGATCTCTTCTTACTCTTTTCATCATAACTTTCATTTTCATCGGAACCTAACCCTACAAACACATTGGTACACATTAAAAAAGGTGTTATATATTGAAGGTTGGTTTTTATTAACTATTTTGATTTGCACTTAAAAAATGACATTTTATGAAGAGGAATGTCTTTATTAAAGAATACATAAAATTGTGATAACCTTGAAAACCAGTGCATTTTTATGTGTATTTTACATTATTTTTTCATACATGCTCAACTTATTTTCATAAGTAGAATTTTTGGGGTATAAAAAGTGCATTCGTTAAACTTTGAAAAGTGCTTGAGAATATTAGAGAATACAAAGAATATCAACCAGAAAATTGAAAAAGGACGTTTGAAATCAACAAAAAAACAAAAAAGTCTCTCGAAATCAACCAAAACATCAAAAAAGTTCCTCGGGTTCAACCACAGAACCAAAAAAATCCCTCGAAATTAACAAAAAAAAACCGAAAAAATCCCTTGAAAACAACCAAAAAACTTTAAAAAAATCCCCTAAAATAGTGGAATTCAGCTAAAACTACATCGATTTTGATGCACTCATTCAGCAAAAATTATGGGTCTGTCACTGTCCAGAGTGGTTGATACGACATCAAAGGCCCTGTTTTGAAAATAGTATGCGAACTTCCACTATAGAATCCTATAAAAATCTGCAACTTTCTATGGGTTTTTATTTCTTTTACTTGATTTCTTGGTGTTATGTGTTGTCTTATACCAATATTTGAGGACCCATCAAAGATTTGGTGCCATAAAAATGGCACACATGTTCTTTTAAACAGATGAAAAAATTACATTCAAGATTTCAGTTGGATTCTGATCAGGTTACATACATTATATGATCAGAAATAGAAAAATTTAGCACTATCGTTTACTTATTGAGTAATATTTTAGTCCATCAAAACGGTATTGTATGCAACAATTTACCCGGTAAGCGTTTACTATGGTAAGAGTCGTCGCTGACACTTACCGGGTAAAACTCTTGATCCTTGTCTCGCTCTTACCGGATAAGATTATTGGTCCTTACCATATGCATCCGGTAAGGTAATGTGACTTGGTGTTCACTTACCCGAATAAACGTTAAGTGCAATAATATGGATATTTTATATGTTGAGCATGTTGGTAATTTGAGATTTAACTTACTATGGGTTGTACCGGCTGTTTACTAAACGTTATCTGGGTAAGCGCTTACCAAGTCACGTTATCTTACCAGATGAATATGTCGTGGACCAAGAATCTTACCCGGTAAGAACGAAGGCAAGAACCAAGAGTCTTACACAGTAAGTGATGACGAAGACTCTTACCACGGTTAGCTCTTACCGGGTAAATGTTGCATACGATACCGTTTTGGTGGACTAAAATCTTACCCGGTAAGTGAGTTGTAGTGTTGAATTTTTCTAGTAAATGCTTATCCGGATAAGCGTTTGGTAAACAACCCCTTAATCACCTTATAAGGTGGAAGATTGTTGGTACAAGTGTATGTATGTTGATTTATTTTGGCAAGCTATATACACGTGTTACTATTTTGATGATCGACAAACACCCAAAACGTTATTTATAGAAACATTTTTATTGATGTGTTATAAAATATTTTGATTTGATAAACGTCTAAATTGAGATCAAATTATGTTCAAGCGCAAATTTCAATATCGGATAGCGTTGGCATAAAACCGAAAGATCATTTAACCGTGACAGACACTCAAGAATCCGAAATTCAAAAAAAAATCAAGAACGGACTCAAGAAGCACACTCCGGAATCCTGTATTTCTAGAATTGCGTACCGTGAAGAACGTCAAGGAAGAATTAATTTGGTCAAACCATGCAAACATCATTATTGTGATTTCAAATTATATATAATAATATTTTTTTGAAGTATATAATACTTATATACGGTAAATAGAACAAATAAACGCATACACCCTCTTCACATTTGGTGATGTTTGAACCTTTGACCTCCTAAGAGGCCAATAACTCACATACCGCTAAGCTAAATGCTTTTTGGTTATATTTAATAATATTAATTGTAAATGAAACTCGATAATCCCAGGATATCCAACCCGCTATGAATAAACCTTTTTCATAGACTAAACTAACTAAGAGATAACTGTAGAATCTAAATTCAAACTCAATACTAATACTAAACCAACTAGGAAATCCGATAAAATATTAACAACAGACAAATCCTAAAACTAAAGGGTAACTTAATTAAATTAAGAAAATATTAAAGAGATAATAAAAAAAGCGATTGAATCTGCACGCATTTGCTCAGCCAGACGTGAACAACTACCCACGTGGCTTAAGGCGCACAGTTGGTCGTCGGATCCTCTGTCTCGCCTCCAGAGAGTTGGGCAACCTTTTAGACGACAAAAGTCGCATAAAACGTTGCAGGAGACCTTTTTTCGTCTTTATATTGTTACGACTGTAGTCGTTCTGTTCATTGTTTTTGTAGTCAAAACCTCTGTATATCAGTATTTAAACGTGTATTGTTGTTTAATTGACACGTTCCTAAATTCTTGGACCTTGGGTATGATGTATGTGTTGAGACAATGACCATCGCATTGGTATAACACATCACATGGAATAACACCAATTTTTGTAGTGAATGAAGACCATTGTGAGTGGTGCATTATGACTTTTATTTCATTATTTTTTGTGTCAAGAATTTATTGGCCTTCATAAAAGATGTTGAAAATGCCTTACAAAAAGTTACTTAAAATAGAAACCCACAAATTCTACTCCTCATTGGCTCTCATTTTGGCAATTTGTGTGACTTTAAAGTTTAAGGTTCTAAACTTACTTAAAAGGGAAAGTGGTTATTATTTAAGAATTAAATTTTTTTTATTTCAAAAATAATGTAAATGTAATATAGGTGAAACTTGGTGTGTGTTTTTAACCGTGGGTTTTCAGGCCAGATTATGCGCATCGACTAATCTATCGGACGATCATGAATCGTCTAGAGTCATAGCAGGTGAACCTCCATGACCACAAGGATTTTACGCTTGGATTCGAACCCAAAGTAGATGAGATTTTCCACTACATCTTTCTAAAGCTTAAGTTGATGGCTGAAAATATTACACCATAAGGTAAGTAAGGTGATGTCTCTTACCGATAAACGTTTATCCGATAAACTTTTGATAAACGACTCTTTAGTACAGTAGAAAATATATCTGACTTCAGAATCAAAATTCGTTATTATGTTTAAAGTTTGACGAAAGAAACAAAAATTTAATGCTAAACATATTTTTGGCCCATACAATTAGTTGATTCTTTTGGTCGGATCGCTTTTCGAACATATCTGAATTATTAGGCTTAAAATTTGTGAATTCTTAACAGAACAGTTTAAAAAGCGTTGGCATTTCAATATTTTAGGTTTGATTTCTTGTTAAAAAAAATATAAAAGCATCTCCAACAACTATGTTTTCTTTTTTTAAATTGGAGAATTCTTCATTCTCTCTTTTTTATCCTCTCTATATATACTATATTATAAATCAGTTGACAAAAACTCTTAAAAACCATTTTATATACATGAAGTACTGTTTATTGATGCATATTACTTAAAATTTCAAGATTATAAGTAATTATGTGTATATATAACTTATTAAAGCTTCATGTTTGAATTCGTATAACTAACTGTAGATAAACATAATCAAATAGAAGATAAACATCTCATTTTAAATATAAAAAATCTAAAATATAATTAGGATAATCATTGAGTTCTAATAAAATAATTAATTATTATCTTTATAAAAAATTATATTATGAAACCAAAAATATAAAAAATGAATTAAAGAAATATACAAAAAAACGAAAAAAAATCAAATAGTTACTTTGGTACTAACATCAACATTTTTTTTAATTTTTTATGATATATCTCCATATTTATATTTTATTCAAAAACAAAAACATTATCGCTTTATCAAAGCCACATAAAACTGTATTATAATATTAATTAAGACAAAAAAGAATGAAACATTAAAATCAAGATGTATCTCACTGCATTGTACGAGTATCTTTCTAATTCTAGAAAGAAGTTCAAAACAACAGATAAAATTTGTAAAATGACATAGCTGTTGAAGATATATTAAAATAGTATAACTGTTGGAAAAAAAAATTAAAATGGGTATTTTCAAAAGTATTGGAATCCATCACCCAACTTTCCCCTTTTATGAAAAAGGTTTTTCTATCGAAACATGATTTGGCCGAGGATCTTTTTTGTAGCATATCTAGTTCTACGTGTCACATAACTAACTCACCACGCCGTCGTTTTGATGGTGCTACGCCACTCCACTATCGATGGCTAATCTTCACGCCATCTATTGTGCCCACTATTAACAGATATCATCAGAATCACGTAAGAGACAGGTCAATTTACGAAAAATGTAAGAATAGGTTGAATTACATGTGATTGGCCTTTCTTGTACTTCTAATAAGTTGACTGCTTTTTCGTTCAAACTTGTCGTCTTTGTAACAAAAGATGACGTTTTATTGTGAGAAGATCATGTGAAAAACCGGTCAATTTACAAGAAACACGAGAAGAAATAAATAACATGTGATACAATACGTCCAGAAGTACATGCACGGTTGATCAATGGGACCACCAAGGTCGTGTTAAAGTTGCGTGAGCAATGGCCGGTCAATGTGGCGTGCGTATATCACATGTGATTTTACTCTATAAGTCTATATTCACATGTGATTTGACCCTTCTTGGCTGCCTTTTTGTTTGAACTTGTCCGTTTGTACAAAATATAAGTGAGTATAGTGCTATTATAAAACAATTTTGGGTATAAAATGTAAACTCATTTTTAATTTTTTACAAGAATTAAGGGTATAGGACCGAAATGTGGGACCATCGGAGGACCGGGATGGCCAATAAACCTGTAGCTAGCATTTGGACAGTTAAATGTTCATGGCTCATACTCAAGGAAAGATGGCCATAAACCAGGTCGAATTGGACCGATAACCGGCTTCAAGCTAAATATGGAATTCTATAGCCAGGTTATATTCGACTTCGGGTTAGGTTTTAATTGGTCCTTTGTCCTAAAATAATGACTGATCTTATAGAGACGGTTCAACCAAGATAATGACTGATCTTATAGAGACAGTTCAACCAAGATAGGTTATATATGTATGTATATGTTAAAAATTATCGTACACTTGTAACAAGAACGATAACAAGGTTGAGGATGATGAAATAATTAATGAAAAAAGCATAACAATATGTATGTCAAATTAAAAAGAATAAAATGCTCACCAAACCATTAGTACAAATCGTGAAAACCTCATTCAACCAATCATAATTTTTATTTTAATTATGAGGGTTGATTAGTTATTTTTACTGTGAAGAACATTAACTATGGACATTATCATCTTCATTCTATTAATTCTGATAACAAATTTCATCAAAATGAAAGAAACAATTTAATTTTTACATAGAATCAAAGATATATGAAACACTTTTATCAGTCAAGGATTGTGTGAGCAATAACCAAACAACTTTGAAAGACCATAACCCTCAAGAGAATACAAAATGGGATCCACATAATTTGTTTTTTTTTTAAATATGATATTTATATACAGCGAAACTCTCAGACTCTATCACCTATGGTGATCCATGAACCCTTGACCTCCAAAGAGGTTAGGATCTACCAATAATCCAGGTGTTGTCGAGCCAATGACATATACCTGTTAGTTTCAACCATACATGATCATAACGTATGCCTAGAAACCAATCAATATACAGCGGGCCAAGAACGTTTATAGGCACATATGGTTTCCGGCATCTAAAGGGTCGTTTACCAAACGCTTACCGGGTAAGCTCTTCCCTGCAAGAGTCACCATCCTCACTTACCTTATCGGGTAACATTTTCAACCATGGACAATTGCCTGATGGTAAGCTGTCTCTTACCCAGTAAGCGCTAACCGAGTAAGAGACTTCTCCCTCACTTACCGGGTAAGATTCTTGGTCCTTGTTATGCCTCTTACCGGGTAAGATTCTCAGTTCTTGCTAGGCTAGCCCAGTAAGCACTTACACGGTAAGCATTTGGTAAACGGCCCTAAGTCTTTCTAACCTCTAAAGAAGCAATTCAAAGTCAAATAACAAGCATTTCAAGTATATATGTGAAATGAACAAACTGCAAATTGCACCCAAGAGCTTTTTTCAGACGGCACCTGGTGTTCAACTCCATGGACTAGGAAGCCTAGCATCTCTGAATGCCAAACTGCCACCGGCTGCTGGTGAAGGAGATGTGGGAACGTAATTTGTTCCCGTTACGGATGCTGTTGGATTAGCTTGTTGGCCGCTAGGAGCAAAGCGCGATGGGCTACTAGCAGCTACCCCTGAAGGTGTTCGTGAAGGATTTGGTACCTGCATTTAAATGTATGATTCATACGTGAACTTGTAACTATAAAAGAAAAAGTCTAGTAAATCTAAGAACTGGATCTGTGGAACTTCATCTCAAACATTACTATATGATATTATGATGTTTTAATCGGGTTAGTTACCTAAATGACATCCTAATACGTGTTTTTAAATTCATGACATTTTGACAGATTTTTAGGCATTCTTGTGTATGGAAGCAAGCACTACCACAAGGGGATGATGCACAAGGCCAGGGCTTTTTCGGGCCTGGGCCCGGGACTTCCAAGCCTGTTTTCATTGAGAAAATAATCCCCGAACCGGGCTTTGGGGTTGAAAAGGGCCCAGATTGGACTGGGCTTCGGACTCACTAGGCGCGGGATATTTGGGCCCGCTATTTCCACGATCACTCCGAGTTAACTGCTTAGATCTCTAACCACAAGATTTAACTTGTATTCTCTCCATGGCATGACATTTTGCTACATACGACTTTGTTCAAGATATTAGAGTTTTTATTTGACATAGGTATTTGGTAATTTACCGATCTTGTTCATCTCTGATTTTTGTCCCACTCAGTCATGTCCTAGCCTAGTCTAAATGTCGCACCAAACATGGGACACGTTTCATGTCCCACGTACCAAACACACCCAAAGTAAATTCAGCTAGTATTATGTTTTACCATAGCAAAGGGTGCCCGCCTATGAAGGGAATCTGAAGATGGTGACACACTACTCATTCTTGGCAAACTGCGAGAACGTAGATTTTGGTTAGGACCATCATCGGCATCTGCTCCTTCGGTATCACCATTACAGTTGCCTTCTGAAACTGGTTGTGGTGTGACGTGTCTACTCATAGACCCGTTGTCATTTCCAACGTCCACTTGGAGGGGCATCAATGGCCGGCCTGTAGAGCCCTGCGCATTACTTCTTCTTCGCAGCTCCTCTTCGGCATTCAAAATCTATGAACAGCCAACAATATTATTTGGTGATGAGTACTTGAGGGAAGTTCATTTAGGAACTACAAATATTTTGAGAACTGTGAGAACCAACTATACATGAATTATTCATGGATGAATATACCTAAATATTAATGAATATCATGCATTTTCATTATTCATGAATAGTTTATTTTCAAAGTAAAGAAGTCGGACGAGTAATTTGAAATAGTCTGCTATGTCAAATAAGAATATAATCACCTGTTTCAGAACTTGTACCAGATTATGCTTTCTTGCATTCAAAATTTGCAGCTTCTCTTCAACCTCTTTTTTCCTTTTCTCTATATCACTTAGTGAATTGTTCTCAACGGGCTGGTAAGCAAAAGGATAATTACTTAGTAAGACATTCTAGATAAATAGAAACTACAATTAGTGAAGGAATAAAAGAGAGGAATTGTAGCGATAAAACTGTTATTATCAATACATATGCTCAATTTAAAATTCAATAAGCACACAACAAACTAACAGTAAGGCTAAAATGGCCTTTTAAATCTTTCAGACAGTTTATTCAGCACAACAAACAAACAACATTTTAGGTTAATGCAGACAAAGACAGACAAATTAATTCATACAGGCAGCTCAATCCAAACAGGGCTTAACGGAAAAACAACCAAAGGCTCTGTGTATGCTCCTAGCCCCCTTGCAATCCAAAGGCTCCTTCCCTCTCCATCCATCTAGCTACAAATAAACACTTAGGGGCTGTTTGATGAAGGGAGAAACTAAATATTTGAGAAAGCTATCTATGTTGATTAATCTGTTTGTATAGATTGAGAAAGTTTTTGTTTGAGAGGGTTTTTCATAGATGGGAGGAGTGTGTTCTTTAATTGGGAGGGGAATGTTTGGAAAAAAAAAACTTGGCTTTCTACATAAAGCTCCCCCTAGAAGCTTACTGAATAAGCCACTTTCTATATCATTAAGCTACTACCAAACAGTCATGTATAGCTGACCGATAAAGTTGTGTGTTCGATTAAGCTCATTAAGATACTAACAAACAGGATCTTCAATACATATGCATAATGCATGCATGTTTGAGTGTATGTGTATACATTTTCCCAACTCAAAGATGAAAACTATATAATTATAATGTAAATAGGAAGGCAGCATGAAACTTTCTTGCTAACATTGAAAATACCAATTTGATGAAGGGAGAAACTAAATATTTGAACTAGGCCTGACCCTCCGCTTTTCCCTTCCCTCTTTTCATGTGTGAGTGTGTGTCTGCATCTATATGTTCACAAATAATTCAATATGGAGATGAAGTGGATAAAATAGAAAGAAACAATGAAGATGAGAACAATACCGACCTACACAATTATTCAAACCAAATTGACCAATAAATCCCACATGAAAGTAATGTTTTCGGGAGGGATAGATGTAAGCAGACCTAACCTCCACCCAAAAAGTGTAGAGCTGGCGTTTCCGTGAAGACCCCCTACTCGATGATCAAATGAAATATATCTTCCGTGGCATGGGAAGTGAAAGATGAGACATATAACATACCTTCGCAAGAGAACTTGGAGTTACATCGATATATGATGTTGCATTAAACCAACTTATGTATTCTGATTCATGTAGAACCCTATACCTACTAGGACTAGGAAACCTCATTCGTTTCTAACCATAACCTACCACCAAAATAATCAAATCAAGACATAAACACATCCCCAATAATTTTCTACTTATTTATTACTTGCAATTTATCTCTTAACAAAGCATATATGTCCACTAATAGTCTTTTGAGTCAATGAGTTTCGTTCATATATCTCATCGCCATCTCACGCATACAGTCCTAATAAGCACGGTTAATTTAAGCAATACACCTGAACCCCTAGTCCTCATTCCTAGTATATATAGATATATAAATTCAGAGGACGCTATGTTGGAATTGACAAATCACATATAACTTAAGTAACTATTAACTAAAAAGGACCGGTTTCTGATTTAAACTAAACTTGGCTAGATGCTTGCATAACACCGATATATTTAGTATTTGGATTTCGGAACATATACCTTTCCAACATGTAAGTATCAATTCTTAAATCCAATTTCAAAACCCCGCAGGCTGCAGTCATCATACCAGTCCAATCTTCCAAGTTTCTCCGTAGTTAGATCATGTTTCATTTATATCAATGATTAAAGATCCAAATCATGTATGTTGGAAAAGATGCATTTTTTGTCCCACTCCCCTTACCTATCACACCATTACTAAGATGTGAAGTTAGAAATGAAGGAACACCTCCAACCATCATGAGCAACCTTCTTATACGACAAGCAACTAATCACAATTATTATACATTATCATGTTCTACATTCAGATTGTCAACAAAGATAAGCAATCATATTGCAATATACGCAACACCCAACAAGCAATTTATACCTCTAACAGATGCTGCGGTGGAGCATCCGTTTTCCCTTCCTGTTGAAATCCATCCACAGCATCCGGGGCATTTTCCGGCACCTCAGCAACAGCCTTAGCATCATCAACTGCCACCAATTCATCACCAGGTATCCCCAAAACTTCATCTTCATCATCACCCTTCGATAATTTCTGACCATTTACCTCTTCATCTGCATAATTCGATCTCGCCAATTCATCATCAACTGTCCTTTTATCACCATTAGCCTTGGATGTTCCCTCATCTTTAGCGACATCTTCCACCCCAGGTCCGTCGGATTCAGTTGGTACTCTACCACCGGAATTATTATCCTCAACTGAATTCAAATTAGGGTTAGGGTTAGGATTCGGAGTGGTGGTGGCTTGGAGGCGAGAAAGGGCTCTGGAACGGCGGTGGAGCAGGGTCTTGAAGTCCTTGAGAGAGATTTTAGGTGTGGGCATCAGCCATTGGCGTGGAACGTCGGGACTCCGGTGGAGCTTCCCTCTATAAAGCGAAATGGCCACCATTTTTTATGCAATCCTCTTTCTCCGTTGCTGAACGAAATCGAAACCCCCTTCTAACAGTCCTTTTAAACGAGTCGGGTATCCGACTCCATTCAACCCGAATTCATCACTTTCGGACCTTTGTAATAATTAATTATTTGTTTTCAATAAAGCATATATTCATTAAAAATATATGCAAAGAATTGTATATTGACAATATTAAAACAGTCATTTTCAGTAGCATCACTGTTTATGTATCATTAAAATTTTAAAATATATATATATCAATGTTAATATCAAATCAACTATTTAAAAGTTTTTATTTTTTATATAATTTTTTTAATTTATTTTTTTTAATTATAATTTAATTTAAGTTTAATAATGAAATAATTTATTTTTGGTTTAATAATATAACATTTTATAAAAATAATAATTAAGTATTATGTTAGAGCTTAATGTTTATCCTAATTATATTTTAAATTTTTTATATTTAAAATGAGATGTTTATCATGTATTTGATTATGTTTATCTGCAGTTAGTTACACGAATTCAGATATGAAGCTTTAATAAGTTGTACTTACGCACAATCTACTTGTAATCTTGAGTTTTAAGTAACATGCATTAATAAACAGTACTTTATGCATAAAATGTGATTTTTAAGAGTTTTTATCAAATATTTTGTAATATAGTATAGATATTGTTAAAATACTTTATACATTAATAAAACATTTATTTATTTTTATAAACAATTAATTTCAAGATTTTTTATGGACGGAAGTACGATAAAAAATTATTCATCTTTCATTATAATCATTTTTTTTTTAGAATTTTATCTCTCTCTTGGTTTTATCGCTTTGAGCAGCAAAAACTACCCAGAATCTTCATTTTGAAAAATATATTAGAGATGCTTTATAAGTTGATAGGTTACGCTCAATAAATTAAATATATTTGTTTGATTAAAAAAAGTTAAATATATTTGTTTGTGGATTAAAAACATCATTTTATGTTTAATTTAACCAGTAAAACAAAAAAGTAGGATTTTGAAGCAAGTTTTTTGTCCAGTTTTGTAAAATCCTACTCTGCTATGTCGATTCATAACATAGAATACATATCATATTTTAAAACTGGGATGATCCTAACATGTTTTATTTTAAGATTTTATAACGTTGTTTCATGTTTCTTATGACTTGTAGGGTATATGGGTTGATGAACTTTAGGAGGTTCAAAGAGTCGTTCACGAGCTATATTGATAGCAAAAGTTGATGGGATGATCTGACAATACCTAGCAGTATCCATCACTGTCTTTGACACGTCTAGATTTAACAAGTCATCATTAGTTTTGACATGTCGTGATTCTAGTTGTAACATATCACTGACTTTGACATGGCGGGCTTCTAGGTTTAACGAGTAATCACTATATTCAACACATCGTGCTTCCATGTTTTATAGATTTAACATGCCATGCTTCTTTACTGACTTTGAAATAACAAGTCTTGTAAGCGTCGTTAACTTCTAACTTATGCATTACATGTTGTATTTTACGTTTTCATTTTGACCATATGTTGTGCGTCTTATTTTCTTATATGCAAATATATGTTCATACATTTTATCTGATATCGCATTGTTATGGATCTGATTCCAAGTCTAAATAACATTTTATTGTATCGAGATAATTAAGTTTCACTTTAATTCATTCATATACGTACTCAGTACTATGCATCCCCTACCATGGTTTTGTGCAAAATTAGTCCTTGCACTACTTATTGCCTTGAAATCTGCTTTATTCTTGTCATTCATTCAGCATATTAAGACATAAATGCAGATCTATATATTGAAAACTTTGGGTATTCAGTTGCAGATATAACTTGTTCTAACTTTCATTGTATTTATATATCTCATTTCCTTAATTTGCATCTTTCTAGATGGTTATAACTCTAGATATTAAAAGTCGTATAATGCAAATAAGCATATATCCACATCTTACAATTACGGTACAGTACATATGATTTAATAACTGTACTTGACATTTATCTTAAAGTCTCAAACATTTATGAACTGAAAATCAAGACTTTCAAAGATTTGATTCACATTTTATGTTGTTGTTCTTTTATTTAATAAATATATGAATATATTATGCAATACTATAAGGGTATTCACGCAATGCAGCGAAATATATCTCAATTTCAATGTTTTATTTTATTTTTTTGGTCTTTGTCGATGTTATAACACAAATTTATGTGGTTTTGAACAAACAATAATGATTTTCTTAATAAAATATAAATTTAAAAATATCATAAAAATAAAAAAAGATTATAAAAGTTCTCGGTTTTTTATATAGTTTATTTAATTCAAACTTTTTTATAATTTAATTTAAGTTTAATGACGAAGTAATTAATTTTTGGTTTAACTTTTATAAAGATGATAATTAAGTATTTTGTTAAGACTCAATAATTATCGTAATTATATTTTAGATTTTATATTTAAAATAAGAATTGTATCTTATATTTGATCATATTTATCTACAGTTAGTTATACGAATTCAAACATGGAGCTTAATAAATTGTACTTACGGATAATTTACTTGTAATCTTAAATTTTAAGTAATATGCATCAATAAACAATAATTCATGTATAAAATATAGTTTTTTAAGAATTTTCGTTAACTAATTTATAATATAGTATAGATTGTTTGGTACATATACATATGCTTAGTTCAGTTACAAAAAATAATGTTAAAAATGAAGAATAAAATGTAATTTTAATTAATTTTGTCATAACTGCAGCTTAAAAATTTAGGAAAAATCATCTACATGACCGATATACAAATATATAATTGATAAAATGACTCTTTTTTATGTATTTACTAAAATGACTACCATTTTCGTTAAGTATTACCATCAGTTTGATGAATTTCTTACATTGGTTTCACATGTCATGAAAGTAATGATTCATCTATCTATTTAACCAGTTTAGAAGGTTTTGACGAAATACTTACAAAGTGGGACCCAGATCTAAAAAAGGTACACCTATTTTGTTCGGAGAATTCCAAAATACCCATTTTGGCGAAGTGCTCAAGTGCACTTCGAGTGCATTAAAATTGGCTAAATGCATGTTGACTTCTTCTTTATATATGGACCATGTATGACAATAACAAAATCTTGTATCATAAAAATCCATTTTAAGTGAATTCTAAAACTCATGTGTCTCTGATTCCCCATTGGGGACGAAGATGAGTATGTGGTCATATTCCTCGATGGTGAGGACAAAGTTGGAGACTGGGGTCTCCACTCCGTTCTCATACCTACCCTTATGGCCTGAAGGTTCATCTGCGATAACTCCAAGTCATTCATGGTTGCCAAAAGAATTAGTGAGTATGCATAAGACGATCCAAAAACTCATGATTACCACACAAAAAAAGAACCTAATATATAATAACTCGAAAGTCAAACGTAAACTCGAGGAACAAAAAGTGTACAAACAACAAAAATAACACTAATCAAAACGGTGGATAACATTATAAAACTTATAACGATAATAATATTTATTCGTCCTAAAATAAATGTATATAATAAAAAGTATTTATAGTTTAAGCAATCTAATTATTACATTTTTTTCAATCAATAAAATGACAATTTTACCCTTGAACTTTTTTTTATCTCACAATAAAGATAGAATGGAAAGATACTCGTTACTTTGAAAAGACCGACGAAAATCATGTCTCAAAATTATAGTCTCGTTCTTGTTCCACCAACGAAATTAAGACATGCCATAATTTAAATTTAATTAATTAATGTTCACTATCTTTTTGATTATATGTATTCATATGATTGGTGGATATGAATGAGATATAAAAATTTAGAACAAATATTTTTTATCCTAAAAATAGACACTTATTTTTACATAAACTAAAATAGTAAAGTAGACACTTATTTTTAAAAATCAGTAATAACAGAGATTCCAAAGCTTAAAACTTTTAATCCATTAAATATATTCTACCATAACATTATAACTCTGGATTTAGAAACATTTCCTACAAGGAAAAAGAAAAAGAAAAAAAAAAGGGTTCCATTCAATTCGATTGTATTAGTAGATATTGTGTTCTAGAAAATACTTTCAAACCATTTATTATAAGCCAAACCGGGTTTTTTTAGTAATAAACTGGTTCACCCAAAAGCCCTGGGAAGTCCAAAAGCATATCGTTTTCTCCATCTAACATGGCTTCCACAAACGATCCGTCACAGCCTTCTTCGTCTACACTTCCTTTCATCAATGGTGTATTGGTATTATTACCCTTAACGACCTCAATTCCTCCCATGGCTTCAAAGCTTTCATCGTTAACGTTTCCATCCTGCGAATTCTCGATCAGAAAATCGCGCCAATTGAAGGTCTGTTGTGGCGTCGCTTCATTTAGAGTTGCAGAACAGGTACTCGAAGAAGACGACGACGATGATGCCAATGAAACGTGGAATTGAGTCAGGGAGATCTCTGGATTCGTTGATGGATCCTTAACGTGCGTGATTGCTTGGAGTTGAGTTAGAAGGTCGAGCGAATCGGGTTTGATGACCTCCGATGGTTCCATTTTGACCGAATTGTTGAAATTGGGGAATAATGTTTCAGGGATTTGTTGGATTTCTTGATTCGAAATGAAGAACGTGTTTATCTTCTTGTTGTTGTTATTGTTGTTGTTGTCTCGATTGAGTGAAGCGATTCGAGTTTGGGTCCTTGTGAGTCCACTGATGTTGCCATAATCGGCCAGCATTTGAGAGAAAGGTCTATGAGTTACAGGATCGATCCCCATTGCCGATAGCTTCTTCTTCAGTTTAGTATTCCAGTAGTTCTTCACATCGTTATCCGTCCTTCCCGGAAGTTGTTGTGCGATTATCGGCCACCTGCAAAAAAACCCGACATGATCTAATATCAAAATTTTGAGAATATATGGAATCTCATTGGATTGTTTTTCAAAAGAGCGGATAACATATCAAAATTTAACTAATATGGGACTCTGGCATACCCCTACAATGGATGCTAAATATGTATAGATTGTCATACTCGACTGGCACATATTGTCCAGAGTTAAGTCCCTAGAGCAGTAGACTTTAACTCTGATACTATGTGAGAATATGTGGAACACGGTAGATTATATTTCAAAAGAGACTTTGAAAAGATAATGGAGGTTCCAACTATATTGAGGAGAATAGGTCAAAGTTTAACCGATATGGGATTGTAAGACGCTCCCTGCAAAGAAGGCTAGACGGATACAGATTGTCATAGAGTGTCGAGAGGGCTAGGCATGCGCAAATTATCTTAGAGTGTCAAGTTCGTTCAGTGGTAGACTTTGACTCTGATATCATATAAGCATATGTGAAACATAGTAGATTATATTCAAAAGATACTTTTGAGGAGATAAGGGAGGTTTCAACGTATGGAGGATAAATGGTTAAAATCTAGCCGATATGAGACTCGAGCGATATATATGTGTGTGTGCATAAACGAAGCACGTGTGAGAATACAAGTTAAAATGAGAAGTGTAAGAAAGGAATTTGGACCATTGATCACTTTTTAGTCTCAAACCAACCCATAAATTGCGCTTTATGATTGATCCAAACATGGATCAATGTAACTCAACTATATATATATATATATATATATATATATATATCAATCAAAATGAGGTGCACCTGCTGCCTATGGCGGAATGAAGCTTGATGATCAACTCCTCTTCTTGTGGCGTAAAGCTCTCATGCCTAACATGATCGTTCCTCGAAACATTTGTTTTCCTGATCCTGCAACTCTTCCCGCATCTTCTTAACCCTTTACCTCACACACGAAACCATAAAATTTAAAACCCAAAACTAATTTTCTCAAGAAACCAAAACCAAATGAACTCAGTATATCCCACTTAGAAGTGGGTTCCGGAAAAGGTTTATGTATGTAGATCTGACCTTTATCCCAAAAAATAGAACAGCTGTTTGGTTATAGACTACACAAACAAGATATTGATTCATACTTGAACTAAAACTAATTACCTGGTTTTCTCGGAGCCCCGACTTGCCAATTACCTGTAGGTTGTTTGGTTACAAAAGCAAGCATCTGTGCATCCTCCTCTTCGTTCCACGACCCTTTTCGCATACCGAGCTTATCACAACACAAAGGTCTCACCATGATCTTAATCGTATATATCGATCAGATCAAAATTCGCCCACGACATAAAGAAGATTGCATTCTTGGTGTAATTAACCTATTCTAATAATAGAAATGCTCAAAGATGATGAACTTAAAATGGAGAATTGAAGTTAGAAGAAAAAAGGCAAGAAAAGCATGCCCTAATTAACTAAATTTTCATGAACAAATCACATTTACTCTCAAAACTTGAATGGATTCATAGAAAATAAATAATGATTTAAATATTAAATAAATTGAGTAGCTCAACTATTTGGATCAAAGAGTCTTGAAATAGGTTCATATTGGGTGGGTTATTTGGTAAATTATTAGATATTAATCTTGAATTAATGAATTTAATTGGGATTAAAAATGTTTGAAAATGTGATTTGATTAGTTACACATGAAATCATAATTAAGTTTGATAAAGACATGATCCAACTAATTAATGGGGAAACCATTTGTGCCATGCTTTTGTATATCCACCGTTTTTGCATGATCATAACATGGTTTAAGAAACCGTTCGATAATTGAAATGAAATTCTATTGTTTATAATTAAAGATAATAATTTATATGTTAGTCCTGTTTAATAAAATCAGTTGGATCACTGATAGATTTGTAACGTTAAAAGCCAATTTTCTTTGATTCGTTGATGATCCGTCACTAAATCAGTTACGAACATTTCATGTGTTGTTTCACGTATGAAAATGTGTTGTTTTCTATGTGAATTAACATTCATGAATGTTAATAACTGTCTCCGTCACTATTTTTAATTAAGAAGGTACCATCAGAGATGAAATTCCAAATGCTACGTCTTATTTTATTGAAGTCATATCTGGAATTTATTATATTTGTTTGGTTTGGTTTTATATGTATGTATATGTGTGTACCAGTTCTTAGTAGTTATTACGTAGAATTTGGTTAACGGCAATTCAAATCATACATAACATGCACGTCTGGTAAAAAAAAACGCAGTTTGAGATTTGCTTATTGATGTTTGTTAGGTAAAATATTAGTAGTTAATGTAAATAAGTGTTTTGAAAATCAAATTATATTCTTTTGGAAACACTCTAATTTATGAAATTTCTGAAAATCAGTGTATCATGTGTTATTTAATATGAATTTTTTTTATTTATGTCTAAAATTTAATGTTGTAGTTAACATATATTTGTTTCATTATGTATTTGTTTCATATATACTCAATACATGATGTGAAACTTCTTGACGTGTTTTGTGAAACAAAAAAATAAACGTAAAAAAGTTTCACATTATGAACCGAATACATATGAAACAGATATGTATGTTAATTAATACATTAATATTATACTTAGAAAAAAAATCACGTGAAATAAAATCTTAAGTTAGAAGTTCTCACGAATCTCACAAATTTTAGAGTTCTCAAATGCTTAAGCCCATATATTTATACTATATTATAAAACATTTTTTATGCATGAAGTATTGTTTATTGATGCAAAGTACTTAAAATTTAAGATTATAATTAAATTGTACGTAAGTATAACTTATTAAAACTCCATTTTTAAATTCGTGTAACTAACTGCAGATAAACATAATTAAATATAGGATAAACATCTCACTTTAAATTTAAAAAATCTAAAATATAATTAGAATTATTGAATTCTAACAGAATACTTAATTATCATCTTTATAAAAAATTACATTATTAAACCTAAACTAAATTATTTCGTTACGTTAAATTAAATTATAATAAAAAATTTAATTAAAGAAACTACACAAAACAAGAACTTTTAAACAATTATGTTGATACTAATATCGATATATATATATATATATTTTTTAAAATTTTATGATATTTTCAAATTTATATTTTATTTAAAAATAAAAAAACATTATCGTTTTCTCAAAATCATACAAAACCGTATTACATCGACATAGATAAAGAATAAAACAAAACATTGAAATCAAGATGTATCTCGATGCATTGCATTAGTATCTTTCTAGTGTGTGTGTGTATAAGGAGAGACTTTTTTACAAACTCAAAAATTCATATAAATTTCCAAACTAATTATCATATAAAAATGCAATGTTTAGAATACAGAGTGTTGTTTCATGTATGAAATGTAGAAGACTTTTTTTTCTTCACACACAAAACAGTATTCAACGTTCCACGTATAAAATAACATTTTATAAATACTGCATCTTTACATATATTGTTTCATATGTGAAACAAGATATAAAAATCAGTTTATAAGATTTATTATATTTATAAATGATTTGTGGGTCAAATTTTCATATTGACACGGAGATAATTACAAACATCACCAAAGCCTTTCCTACTAAACTTTTCTAACAACAATTCACCCAACAATTCTTTTTAATTTAAACTATTAATCAATTACAAATATATATAAATGGCAAATGAATTGATTAGATATTAGGTTGTTTGTTTACCTGTTAATAGTTTTTATTAAGAGGTAGCTTCTCAATCGTTAAAAGGTGAAATTTTTTTGGTAAAAAAGTTTGTTTTTTAATGATTCTAAAACCATCGGAATGATTTTGTATCATAGGTCTCCTTTAACCATGCAGCACCTTAAGTTTATTGTGAACAATTATATTTCATTTTGCACTATATCATGAGAGTCTATTAATCATTCCAACCACTTAATCATTATATACAAAACCATTCAGTAACTGTCAAACAGCTCATAGGTCAAATGAGTTTAATTATATGACTGATTTGGGTGGGTAAACCAAAAATTCAATCGGATTTCGAATATGAAAATCGAAACTCATATTTCGAATTGCTTCAGGTTCATTTGATCGGATTTCAAGTTCGGGAACAATTATATGTAATATATATATATATATATATATATATATCGCTTTTGACTTTTAAGGATTGATGAAATCGGTAGTTTGTTTAGAAATTAGAAAAAAGTATGGCTGACTAAGCATTTACAATTTTCAAAAAATAATCAAATAAATAAATATATTTATATAATATTAGAAGGGTACTCGTACAATGCAGCGAGATACATTTCGATTTTAATGTTTCATTTTTTTGTCTCGGTTGATGTTATAAAAAATTGAAAAAAAATATTGATGTTAGTACCAAAATGACTTTAAAATTTCTCCTTTTTTATAAAGATAATAATTAAGTATTTTGTTAGAACTAAATGATTATTTTAATTATATTTTAAATATATTATATTTAAAATGAGATATTTATCCTCTATTTGATTATGTTTATCTGTAGTTAGTTACACGAATTCAAACATTAATCTTTAATAAGTTGTACTTATGCAAAATTTACTTGGAATCTTGATTTTTAAGTAATATGCATCAATAAACAGTACTTCAAGCATAAAAAATAATTTTTAAGAGTTTTTGTCAAATGCTTTATAATATAATATAAATTTTAAAAAACATATTTTAATAATAAATAGCCATATTTATACTATTTTATTAAAACTCAATATTGTAAGTTATTTGATAGTTAACTTTAAAATTAATTTTTTTATTGATAAATATTACATTAAATAAAATGATATATTTAATTTATTAACCGATATAGTTACTTGGATATTAATTAATTTGAGTAGCAAAAAGGGGAAGAAATTAAACAAGAGTGGAGATATAGGTTGTTATTTGGTATCCATTTTAAGCTTTCAAGGGTTGAAAAGCTCATATGGCCATGGGGGGCTTGATGTTAAATGACCATTATGACCATGTCATAGTATCACCTGACACCTGTGCCCTGTGGGTTAGGTGGGAATAAAATTAAAATAGGGTGATTGTGTGAGACCTCGCTCACCTTTGTACTTATATTATGCTTCCAAATATATTTCTTTCTTTCATGCCCCCAACCCCACTCCTCACCCAATCCAACCCAACCCACCTTACCTCACCTGGTCTCGTCTTTTTATATTACAAGCCATTTCATTCTTTAAACCGAACCAAAATGACCCTCAAGGGTGCCACCACCAGCCAAGCTTGTGCCGCCTGCAAATACCAGCGTAAGCGATGCACCCCTGAGTGCGCCCTTGCCCCACACTTCCGGCCTGAACACCCCACCGTTTTCAGGAACGTACACAAGTTGTTTGGCGTGAGGAAAATCTTAAGAATACTTGAAGAGATCGATCACTACCAGCAGCCAGAGGCCATGCGGTCCATAATCTACGAGGCTAACATGCGAGACCAGTTCCCTGTTCATGGGTGTTTGGGTGTAATATGTGAGCTTTGGTGCCAAATAAGGCAGGCTGAAGATGAGCTACGTAGCGTGCTCACTCGACTAGCCTTTTATAAGCAAGACCATGAGCAACAACGGACGACGGCTTTGTCCCCTGTTGTCTTTCGTGGGTCGTTGCAACTTGGCATGGCTATAGCACCACCTGATATTGCACCACTTACTCTTTTTCAAGACGAAGCTACGACAACAATGCCAATTTCTTCCCACAACAATACTGGTATGTGTATCAATACGCTATGGCTTCAAGAAACAAACAATACCAACAACCACCACCATAGCCCCTTGATGTCGCAACCTTCGGTTATAGAAGAAGCTGTAAACAACCACGACGGAATATTTCCGTTCTTCGATCATATTGAAGACCGACAATTACACATAGATTCAAAAGAGAAGAATGAATCAAGGTATGCAACGTTCATACGTAGAATAGATCCATGACAACCATCGATCAAAACCATTAAAATTCACAGTACATAACGAGTTTTTGGTTGTTGCCTTAAAGACGATTATTTCTACGATTAAAATCTTTTTGAAATTGAGTTATAACGTTGTTGTTATTAGAAAAGACGAAGACCAAACAAATCAACGTAACTCTCAATCATTTTGTCGTGTCACTGCATATTAGCGATATATAAAATCATTTATTTATAAAGAGTAAAAATGATTATAAAACAACAAAAAATTACTGTACAACCATTTAATAAACGTCAATGCGGTAAACAGTTATCGAATAAGAGTCACTATTCTCAATTAACTTCAGCGGCATACCAAAAAAAAATTATATCACGACAAATCTTTTAAGTAGTAGTTTGTACACTCGAGGACTTGTATGTAGGTTTGCCCTTACTTATCTTACCGGTTAAGATTCTCGACCATCAAAATGACATTATAAGATTGTTAGTAAATGTTTATCATGTAGTAAACACTTACCAGGTAAGATTCACCACCTTCGTTTACCAGACAAGACCCTATGTCCTCGTCATACCTCCTATCATTAAGATTATCGGTCATTATCATGATCATCCGATAAGGTAAGGGAACATTAAGCACTTATCGACTAACTTTTAAACCCTTAGCTTCTATTTAGTGTAATAAATAAAATTTTCTCAATCAATATAACACATTTTCAAGATTTCTAATTGATTTATAACGTCATAATCATGTAACATAAATGTCAAGTTTATCGTCCACTTCAACATATAAGCTTTTTGTACACATTTTGTAAACCTGTCATAACAAAATAACCACATATTACAAGATCAACAACTTATCGGTTCGGTGTATACAAAATAAAAAATTCTTGAAAAGAAATTAATTTTTTGTTGTCGTTAAATATACGGGAAATTTATGGAAATTTTTTGTTCATGCAAGGTTTTTTTACGATGCATGGGCAGTCATGATCTTCTTACTTGATTTCATGGTTGTTGGCTTCTCGTTTTCTCCTAAATCTGACCAACCCATTGTTTTTTTGATGTGTCGTTTAGGGTTCGTGCAAGGGAATGGTGGTAAGAAGGCAAAGTGATGATGTTACGGTGGTTACGGTTCAAACAACGGTGGCGATAATGGATATGGTGATGCATTTGCTCGGATTAACCCATTAATTATTCAATTTCCTGTCAAGTTTCAGTTATCGATCTGATTTACTGATATCAATACTTTCAGTGTTGTCGATCTTGTTGGTTTTCCCTCATTTGCATGTAGAAATTTTTATCTAGTGTTCATCGCAATTTGATCAGAATTTGTTTCATGTAATCGTCGATTTACGAATATGGTTTCAGTTGTGTAAGATTTGTAGTTGATGAATGTTATGTTTTAATTGTTGTAGTTTGGATGATTCATGTTGGTTTGAATATGTACGATGATGAAAATGAAACATTCTATGAAATTGAAGAATTAAACATGGTGGTGTCGTGAAATTTACCAGCACAATCTCGTAACTGCACCCAAATCTACACCTAGGGTTTCTCTTTCTCTCTATCTGTCTCGAGAATCAATAAGGTTGTCAGCCTCCATTAGATTAGACAGTCCCAATCAGCTGTAAGCACTGAAATTAAAGCGAAATTGTGCTTTGAGATTGCTGCTTTTGCACAACTTGGACTTGAAATTGATGAACACATCGAGAAAAGGGTGATTTGTTGCATCAAATCAAGTCCTATTTGCATTTTCTGGGTAATCAAATTCCAAATTTGGTTTGAAACTCCAAATTTTGTTGTTCTGTGGTCTGATATGGTATTAGAAGTTAAACTCAAGGATTACTAAAACGTTTTATTGTTCAAATTCCATGGCTGGAATCATTGAGATCATCTTCATCTTCATTCTCTTGTTTGTTCTTCATCATTCTTCATCAGCTCCAATTTGCACCAACTCAAGTCTGAATCTAAATCTCTGTTTATATTTGTTTATGCTCATTTAAGTTGTTTCTATTTTCTGTTGTTCTTTAATATGTATTCTGGTTTTGGTGGACACAGGCCAATTGAAGCTTTGTTCTGATAATGGAGCAAACTGTTGCGACTCAAATGGGCTTCGAGCTCCTAATGGTCTATGTCTGGAGAAACTTGGAAATGGTTCCTACGTTGATATGGTTCCACACCCAGATGGCTCAAACCGAGTTTTTGTGTGTAACCAACAAGGTAAGATATGGTTAACCATGGTTCCTGAGGTGGGTTCTTCACAAAGTTTGATGATGGACGAATCAGACCCCTTTTTTGATCTGAGTGATCAAGTGCAATTTGCGACCGAAATGGGACTTACAAGCATTGCGTTCCATCCAAACTTTACCAGTAATGGCAGATTCTTTGTTGCTTATAACTGTGATAAGTTTCAGCAGTCTGGATGCGAAGGCAGATGTTCATGTAATACTGATGTAGGTTGTGATCCTTCCAATGATGGATCTCTTCAAGAAACTTATCCTTGCCAGTTTCATGTTGCAATTGCGGAGTTCACTGCCAACGGCACCACCACTTCGACAAAACTTTCATGGGTAACTAACGTTTATTTGTGATTTTCATAAATGGGTCCTTTGGATGAATGACCTTAAATGAGTTTTCAGTTAAGAGCATGACCTTCTAAAATTCTTTTTTTAGCTTAATGACCTTCGGCTGGTTCAAGGATTAGGGTTGGTTCCCGTGAGAATGAATTTGGGTAGAACCTGTGAACAAAAGCTTCATCTACTCGCATTTCACAAATCTTTATCTACCTTCATTTACCTATTTCTATCAACATGACTGAAACTCTAGTAAATTCATGCATGTGAAAATGATTGAAGATATGTATTCATGATGGTGACTGAAAGCAAAGATAAAGGTGAAGATGAAGGTAGATGAAGGTCTGTGTTTTTGTTGGCTATCAATTGAAGGCATTTTTTAGCCGTTAGATAAAAGAATCAACTCATCCAAACGCTCAAAAATGTCCTCACCTTCTCACGAAAAGGGGTTGTTCTCACGTGATCCCAACTTGCAACGACTATTTAGGCCATTGACCTTAAATGAGATATTTATTAACAACATAACCTTCTGACAAGTTTAGTGACATTCTGGTGTATTGAAGTGGCATTATGATCATATGATGTATGGAAGTGGCATTATGATCATATGATGTATGGAAGTGGCATGTTAAACATGTTAGAAGGTCATGGATTTAAAAGGAACTTTTGATAAGGTCTTTCAAACTACGGACCCCCTGGTTCAAAATAGTTTGCCACCGTAAAAACTTAGAACTACACTAGAGAGTTAAATTCTTAAATTCCGTTTCTGAGAAGGTCACTTGGCTAAATAGCCCTTTCCTGAATATAGGCACCCTTTAGATTGGCCAACTTTAGATCATGCGTTCTTGATCAATATTCTACAGATGGGACATGCTAATTTGGTTGAGGTCAGGAGGATCTTCACAATGGGGCTCCCGTTTGAAGCTTATCATGCCGGCCAGATTCTCTTTGGCCCTGCCGATGGCTACTTGTATTTCATGATCGGAGATGCTTCTCACGATGCCGATCCATACAATTTTGCACAAAACAAGAGATCATTGCTAGGAAAGATATTGAGGCTTGACGTAGACATCATTCCGAGTAAGTATCTTCACAAGAACTCTTGATGATTTATTGATCTAAAACACTTTGGCATCTTTAAACACTTGTGAAGTTTACGGGTAAGGCCATAGCAGATGGTAATCTATGATACTTGCTGGAGTCCAACATCGGCTAAATTTGGACCATTTTCTCCTCCATATATGTTAGAACCTCCCCTCTATCGTTAAGGACTCTTTTGGGGATTAATCTGTTGAGGTTCCATTTTCTTTGTCATGGACATGAACTTTGAGGGATCTTTTGGAGAGTAATCTGATGGGGTTTCACATATTCTCACATGGTATCAACCAATCTAGAGACTCGACATTAGGCATCGGCTAGAGTTGGACCATTTCTCCTCCATATACGTTGGAACTGCCCCCCACCCTCTCCTTTAAGCTCTCTTTTGGGGAGTAATATGACGGGGTTCCACTTTCTTTTGTCATGAACATAAACTTAGGTGCAGCAGAAATAAGCAGGCTCGGCCTATGGGGAAACTATTCAATACCGAAAGACAATCCGTACACTACCGATAAGGAACTTAATCCCGAGATCTGGGCCTTGGGTTTTAGTAATCCTTGGCGATGCAGTTTTGACTCCGAAAACCCGTCTCGCTTCATCTGTGGGGATATCGGGAAGGTACGTTTTAGCCGAAACAGAATCTAAACAGTTCACAAGAAAGTAGTTTACAAAGACTTTCTCTAGATCTTATTACCTTAAATCTGTGTGTTACATTTTATAGAATCAATACGAAGAGATTGATCTAATCAAGAAAGGCGGAAACTACGGATGGCGTGTTTACGAGGGGCCCCATCTCTTCCATCCATCGCATGCTCCTGGAGGGTACACTAAGCCAAGCTCCATTACACCCATATTTCCTTTGGCGGGATATAACCACGATAGTATTGATGCGAACAAAGGTCCAGCCTCGGTAATTGGTGGTTACTTCTATCGTTCAGCCACTGATCCATGCTTGTATGGCTGGTTAGTATTCTTCCACACTTCGGCCAACAACGATGATATTTTCACTACAACAAAATTGGTTTTATAGGACTTTAAATATGTCTAATTATCTTAATAGACTACATGATTTAGGTTTACGAGACCAAATGATTGTGGATCTTGTGTAAAAGGTGTTACAATAAGTTGATAGGACGCTTTTAGGCATCTTAATCTTAACAAGTCTTTTAGGACACTTTTGAAATATTAGTCTTTTATATGACATTATTTGAAAAAACGTTTTATTATAAAAACAAGTGTCGTGTAAAAATGTGTTCGTAAGACACTTCTCAAAAGTGTCATATTAAAAAAACTAATAAGAAACTTTATTTCATTTGTAACAATTTTACAATCGTCGTGTCCAATAAATTTAAGTCTTGACCATTCTATTAGGACATCTAGACATATTTGACGTTCTATAAAGCCAATTTCGTAAGGTTTTAAACATTTTGGCAAATACTTGTTTCAAAACCGACATTGAAAACATTATGAAACTTTACGGTGTCTAATTGTTCATTTCTTATGCCATAATTAAACTTGAAAGTTAGTTCCTTTGAGCCCGGAACCAACATATTCCGTGGTAGCAGAGCGATTATGATCACATGGATGCATTTGCAGGTACATATACACAGACTTGTACAGTTATGCTATCTGGGCAACTATTGAAGCCACTGAAAACAGCGAAAACTTCAAGAGTTTTGGTGTCCCTTTTGGGTGTGCCCACGACTCACCGATACAATGTGGGCTCAAGCCGGGGAGTCACGGGGTTCCTGACCTTGGGTACGTGGTGTCGTTAAGTGAAGATAACAACAAAGATGTGTACTTGTTGACGAGCAGCGGTGTGTATAGAGTTGCAGCTCCAAGCCGTTGCGGGTACCGTTGCGCCAAAGAAAGGTATTCGAATTTGACTAAAGTTCCCACATCGGGAGCCTTACTGAAGGCTGCAAAATTTGCACTGTTTTTCCTTTCTTTCTTGGTGCTTGTTTTTCTATAATTCTTAATAAAAACCACATATTTTGGGGTTGTTTGATAGTTTATTGAGACTTATAGCTTATTGAGTTAGTTAAAACATGACTGTTTGATAATGGTTTAATGATATAGATTATGACTTATTCAGTAAACTTTTAAAGTTGAGCTTTATGCAGAAAGCCGTGTTTTTTCCAAACATGTCACACCAAATTAAAAAACACACTCGTTCCATATATGAAAAAAACCCTCTAACAAAAATCTTAATAGAAACATTTGATAAAAACCAACCAAAGAGTCTCCAACTTATTGATGTTAAAGGGATTATCCCTTTTATATCTAATTAAAATTATATATGGAGTAATTAAATTAAATTTAATATCGTTGAATTATATATAAGATATTAATAATTAAACACTTTAATTATCCAATAGCTTTATTCGAGCATTCCATGTGTGATCTATTGTGATTTTATTATGTTGGCAATAGTTATAAATCATATTTATGATCATAAATGAAGAGACATATGAAACTATATATTATTGTTATCCAAATAATAAAGTTTTGTGATTCGGTTAAGTCATATTTATAATCGTAAAAAGACAAAAATAACCTTTGTATCCAATTTAATCCTCGTTGTTAGTGGCTCCTTAACATAGCCAACACACACCTATCCCCACAACTCCACCTACCTCACCCTATCACTAGTTCTCTACACCCCCACAAAACACCATTGCCGCCACCACCATGACATTATTGTTATCGTCACAACCTCCATCCACCCACCCACCTCATCCATACACAATCGTCGTTGTTGCCACCATTACATTAATGTTGCCATTACAGTCACCCCACACCAACCCAACACCATTATTATTGTTGTCACAACCACCACCCACCTCCATCGTTGGCACCACCACGCTATCGACATCATCACAACCGCCACACCTATCACCAATTGATATTATTATTATTATTATACTGTATTTATAATTTAAGCAAGAAATTATGAAAATGTAATAGAGAGGTATTTTGGTCATTTATTATCATTTCACTTCCAAAACTATACTTTGTCAATCAAATACGTAGATTCCAATTGTTTTGAAATATTTCATTTCAATTCATATGGTCAAAATCCATTTTATAAAGTTAGGTGACGTTTGGTTCGTTGGAATCCGATGGAATTGTAATGGTCAATTTCATTCCTGCATTTGGCTCAATTTTTAAGTTTCCATGATGAATCGAATTCCACAAATGGTTCCTTCGTGTCATCTTTTACGAAAAACCATTATATTCATTATATTACGCCATTCTATTCCATCCTACCACGATGGATGTCACCACCGTCGTCGCCACCACTACCACCCCTCCGTCGACATTATCATTGTCGCCTTCACCCAAACCCTCACCACATTTGTCGTCACCGCCGCCACCAACATTGACGCCACTACCGCCACTATCCCACCACCAGAACAGATGGATTTAAATTCTTTTGACATATTCCATTTTAATTCCTGCCAACCGAACACATGACCAAAAAAAATTAAATTTCATTCTAATTTTTTCAGATTCTAATTCTAATGGATTCCATTTTTTGAACCATCCAAATTTTAACTTGGAATAAAAGATAATATGTTCATAACGAGATCAAACCAAATCCTATAAAAATCTAATTGAGAAAGAAAAAGGAGAAAAAATTACAAGTAGCAGCAACGACGTCGTTTCTTGTCTCCATCGCTTGTCGTTCCCCGTACTCAAAGCCCTCGCCTTTGTCGAGCAGAAACTGGTTTTTCCCCTTGCACCCTTTCTGCCCTAATCTTCTTCTTCCTTTCACTCCTCTTTCTTCAATCAATTTCAAGAAAATCCCTTCGAATTTGGTTTCTTGTCTCCATTTTCTCTCTCTAAACCCAAAAAGAGAGGGAAAAGATGAGAGTTCTCTGTGTTGTATCATGATGATTTTGACCTTATGATTATACCATCTTCGAAATCTCTATCAAAAAGTAGATTTCTTGGTTATAATTCCTGTTAAAATGCCCCCCAATGATCTCTAATGTCTAGATTCTGTACATAATCATAATCTTTGGCCTTTCCTCTTCAAGATCCCCTCACCATGTCCGACGAACAACCCTCATCGCCACCGATCCCTTCCGACGATGAAATCAAGAACAATAACAATCAAACAAACGGCAACAACGTTGTAGTGAGGAGAGAAAGGCCGTCACGTGCATGTACTGCTCGCTCCGCTGCTCGCCTTTACGAAGCTGCGGCAGCGGAGGCGGCGGCTGTCGCCGCCGTACGGAAGAAGAAGCCACGGCGGAGACCTTCTCGGCGAGAAATGGAGGAGGAGGATGAAGAAGAAGAGGAGGAGCCACCGCCGTCTCCGCCCAACCCGTATAGCAAGATTGTGACGCCGTTGGTGGCGGAGCCGCCGCCGTCACTGTTGCCACGGTGGAATATTAGGTCTATGTGGGAACTGGCCTCAATTCTTAACTTCTTAAATGTGAGGTTTAAACTCAAAAAAGATGAAATTTTTAGAGAAATTTGTAGCTATTTTTGTTGATGTGGGTATTATTGAAATGTGAAGAACCTTTTGTTTTGCAGGTTTTTAGGGATCTTTTGAATATTAAAGCTGAATTCTCAGTTGAAGAGCTCGAAACAGCTTTGATTTCGCCGAATAATACTTTGGGTGAAATACATATTCCTTTGTTGAAGGTTGGTATAATGTGGATAGAAGTGAAAGGTTGAATCTTGCATACTGTTGGTGTTCATTCTTGATAAAAAAATCCGTATCCATTCTGTTACGTTTGGGGTTTTTGTTAACTTCGGTGAAGTATGTTGCCACCGTTGGAACCGATTGTTGGTTTTGCTTCTAAGAGCAAATAAGATTGCATCTTTTCCAGAAATATGACATGGAAGATGATTCTTGTTTGCTTGTGTTTAAAGGGGCTTGTTTAGTGGGAACTCTTTGAGTTAGAGGAGTATATTTAGCAAATTACATGATAAAGGCAGGTTCAATTGAAAATTTGAGTTTTGTTATGATCTGGGGACAAAGGAGAGTGCGTCACGTGTCCCATACATTCACATGTTATTCATCATGAACTGATCACGAATGTTTACATTCGTTATTCATGATGAATATAGCCAGGGACACATATGGTGCTCTCCTTTATCCCCAGTTCGTAAAGGAAAGGAGGTTTGCAATTGAACTTTTCTCTTAATGACAACTTGTTAGAATTAGAATACAAAATCATTGTGAACTTCATGTGCTATTGTAATGTAGCTATTTCTTGTGTGCACTGTAAAGGAAAAAGGAGAACTCCTATGTCGGTTTTTAAGGCTCTTGCTGAACATAGAAGATATCGTTGTTCGGGATACCATTTTCAATCACTATCCAAGTGCATATATGTTTTTTAGGACATTTTTGTTAGAGAACATCAAAGCATTGGTGTGTTTGATTTCGATTTGTAAAGGTAATTGGTTATAGACATGTTAGTTCGATTAAATGGTGTAACGATGCATTATATGGTGTAATCATATACTAGTTTGGCTTAGGCTTTAAGTGACAGAGCATCAGAGGATATTAGGCGCAAAGTCGTTAAAGGCTCAAGGCGTACTTAGGCGCAAAGGGTCTCGGGGCCTAGGCGTGAGGCACATATTATCAAAATGTGTATATATACGTATAGACACACACACACACACACAGAGTTACACAACTCAAATATGCAACAAGTAGAAGCATCCGACACAACCAACAATACTTTGATAGAGGCAAAAGGAAGAAAGGTTTAAAGCGTGAGCTACGAGGGAGAAGTTTTAAGGTATGGGTATATTATGGTTTGACTTATGTCATCTATTTAGTAGATCTTCTCTTAAGAAGTTAGACGATGAGAAAACTAATTTAATATTAGGGTTTGATTAGGTATTTAATAATTCTTTATGAGGCACGCCTAGGCCCACAAGGTGCCACAGGCAAGACGCAGTGCCTTAGTGAGCCTTGTGAATACGCCTAGCCTCGACTTTAAAAAAGCCAAGACCTTCAGTCTTATGAGCCTTAGAGCCTAGGTTATCTATAACAACTAATATAGCAATCACCTCATGGAGAGGACCATCGTAGGCCTAATTGATGTTAATCATCTGAGTTTTCATGGAAACAATCGTTCTACTCTTTTCTTTTCGGAGGGGGGAGAGTCAGGTCCGCATAGATCTCACCTCCCCCAGACCCCAATCTCATCTCGGTGCAACCACCGCCATGGCTTAATGTGTGATTTTTTGTAACAAGATATTTGATTTTCTTACCTTTTTAATGTCTTATTTGTTAGTTTTTAATACGTAACTTAATTTAAATTGTTTATTATCATTGACCCATTGAGCAATAGTAGAAAACATGTGTTCATATATATAATATTATATAGGATATAGAGATTTGCTGCCATAAGTCACGCTTTGAAAAACCGTGGCCTCGCCGCACGCCATTTAGAACCTTATATACTGGGCTTGTTAGGTTTGATTATTAGAACAAGAAGCAAAAATGTTAATTGTGTTATTTCAATTGATGTTTAATTTTTTTCTGTATAGGCAATACCTCCGGTTACTCGGATGGCGTTAGGACAAAACACATGGGTTACGGTTCTATGCCGAAAGCTAAGAGATTGGTGGCATTGGGTACTCATTTCAAATTAAAATTAAGCGTTTTGGTTCGATTTTCACATTTCTAGAATCCAAATTTTCTTTAAAACTTTCGTTACAGGTTTCAGAGGGGGAGTTACCTATAGTTGCCTCACATGGGTAGGTTATACTTATAAATCCATTTTGGATAATTGTATCTCGCCTTGGGGGTTAAATAGGTAATTTACTAACTTTGGCACTTCCAGGGCTGAAATTGATGCATACAACACACTTGATCCTGGTGTTCGTGTCGTCATACTGAAAGCCTTATGTGATATCCGTGTCGAGGTAACATTTTTCCCACAAGCGATTGATTTTTAAAATCGTTGCAAATAAACGATCATTCTTGCAAAATTGCATACGGAACACTTCATATAAAAATACAATTATCATTCTTGTATTTACATGTTCGGAATTTAATCAAGATTGTTCATTCTTGTAAACCGTGGTGTTTTTTGCATTTTTATGAGTACAATGGTTGGTTAATTTCCAGCAAAAATTATGGTTCAAAAAGTCGATCTCCGAAGTTTTCTTGAAGAAGTCGGTTTTTCACCAAATGTTTTTCCCAAGATGGTCTTCATGGAAATAACCGCTCTACTCTTTGGGGTAGATGATATAGATCCTAGTTCCTAGTGGGACATACGAATGTGTTTGGTTTGATTCTTTTTGTTGCTTGGTCCAGTAGCTGCTTCAATCATATGCTCTTCAGGGTCCTCTTTTGCTTTAATCTATATATACATATACATATACATACATAGAGGGAGGTTCAAGGAAAAACCCCTAAAAAACGAAAAACTGAGGAACATCTTGGTAACCATTCATCTAGACGGTATGCACATGTGTATACAGGTAAAAGAAGCTGTTTTTTGGTTTTATGCATGTGTGCGTGTTATGCACATGTGCATACTGGACAAATTGCTTGCAAATTACTTGTATGCACACGTGCGTGCCGTTCAGATGTACAGTTACTAGGGTGTTCCTCATTTTTTCATTTTTTTGCAGTTTCCCCTGAACCTGAAAATGAAAAACTAAGGAACACCCTTGTACGGTATGCACATGTGCATACAAGTAAATTTCAAGTATGCACACGTGCATAGAAACCATGAAACATTTTCAATTACTTCTATGCACATGAGCATACCGTAAAGATGAACGGTTATTAAGGTGTTCCTCAGTTTAATTTTATTTTTTTGGGGGTTTTCCTCTAAACTTCACTCACTCTCTCTGTATATATATATTTGTTGAGTCTAAGCAGCCTTTAATGTTACTTAAATCTCAATAACCTTTGTTATGGCTTAAATCTTGCAGCAAGATGACATCCGGAGCTATATAGACGACTCTATAAAACACGGTGTTCCTCTTTCTGCATTTCGTAAAGAACGTACAGGTGGTGATTCACATGGAGTTTCTTACTGGTAATAAGACCGTTCCTTATCATGGGTCCGTTTCAAAATCGCTTATTTTTCGTTCATATTCTCAAGAAGATTGTTAGTTTGCAACAAAAAGCAAGTACGGTCGTTTAGTAGTACTAGAAATTTGTATTGGATTGTGATTGTGTCGACTTATTGTTTGTTATTTATTGCCGAGAAGGTATGAAGATGATCCTAACATCGGACAGAGGTTGTACCGCGAAATTAGGAAAGTGGAGGTCAAGAAAGGGAAGGGGAAAAACGTACAATCTGTTTCATCCTATCAATGGGAAACCGTCTCGACTAATTTGGATGAGTTTCAAGACGTTTCCGTAAGTTTTCAGTGTGATTTCTTTCACCACAATTGACGCTTTTTCCTTATTTTTGTGGTTTTTTCCATCTATTCACCAGGAAAAGCTATTTACTAGCAAAAACCGAACCGAGGCTTCACTCGGGAAAAAACTAAAAAATGACATGCTTCCGGAGATTGAGAAGGTCCAAAAGGTAATCGACATTCTAACTTACCCTAATCATCGGATGACTTTCTGTTTGCTCTTCTTTTTTTGGTAGAGGTTAGAGGTTTGTGTATATCTTACCTTCTCCGGATGGGTTCGAGCTTTTAATGAGCTACCCGAGCTCTAGCTTAATAATTGTCGAGCTCAGGTTGATCTCAAACACACTAAAACTCGTTTAACTTAACGAGTAAAGCTCCATAACACCAATGTTCAACTCGGTTCATTCGAGAGCTTGATTAAATTTTCGACAGAGTCAAGCTGAGCCATTCGGGCATACACTTTTTGAGCCAAACATGTTCATATGATCAAAGATAAAAATTATTTAGGTCGAGCCAATAAGAAAGCTATATGATCTTGAGTTCGAGCCCGTAAATGAATATTGAGCTCGAACATTGGAAAATATCCGCGCTCGAGCTTTAGCCCAAAACTTACCATGAAAAAGTTATTAGAGCTTGACTCTGGTAATATTTTTTCTGGCCGAGCTTGAATAACCTGCAACTCGACTCGACCCGTTAACACCCCTGCGGACCCCTCACCTTCAGGTGGAGTATAATGGGTTCGTTTGGCATACTTTCTATTTGTAGCCCATTCTCTTGGATTCTTGCATAAGTTCGTTTGGTGGTTTTTTTTTATTCTTCTTCATCGGTGCAGAGGAAAGAGAAATTGCTAAAGAAACAACACCGACAAGCGATTCTTCTCGACGGCATGGTCGTTGATGGGCTAGGTCCGGGCCGATCCCTTCGTGGTAGAAAACAAGTTTCCTACACTTTCGGTAAGACTATTGATGGGAAACGTGATACCGAGTTTATTTCTTATGCATGTGGTCGTTTAGTCCTATCATATTAAGTCGTTGCGTTTTTTTCCCTTTCAGATGATTATGACCGATCAATCAACGAGGCGATCAAGATAACCAAGTACTCAATCTTGACCCTTCCTATATCAATTGTATTTTTCTAGACTATATATCATACATGTTTATAGTTCCGATCCTAGGGGTATTAAAGTCATATGGACGGTGCAAGCCACCTCGTGTAGCCTAGTATGGCTTGCACGAGCACATTAGAACCAAACCAAGGAAAGGGGAAGGTTCCATTAGGAACCTAAAGTTGATTAGGAACTGGGGGACCGCCCACAATGCGACACATAGCATATTTATGAGGAATATGGACGTGGTATTGATCATGTTCATGATGGATATTGAAGAGGGCATGTGGCGTGCTGTGGGTGGTTCCCGAGTTCTTAATCAATTTTGGGTTCCTAAGTGTCACTCTTGGCGGGTAGTCACAGAAGGGTGCGTTTGGTATCCAGCTAAGATAGGACAGGACAAAACAGTTGTTCAGCGTTTGGTGAGACAGAACTAGACATGACAGAAAGATAAAATGACCATATATTTTATTTTGAGGTTATATTGGTGAAATATAGGTTTGTTCCATCGGGTAGTTTCTCAACCTTTTTACTTTTGCAGAAGGAAGCAACCGTCGCCGGAACCTAGTGTGAGAAGAGAAGGTTTGAGGCAAGACGCTTCTGTAAATGGTAGATGGGGTGCTTCCACACCATTGCATAATTCTCATAATGCCTCCTTCACTCCGCCATCTCCAGATTCACTCAACGATGATGTAAGCGATGAGGATCGTAAATCCGAACAGTTGGACCGCAGGTACTCCCGTTCTTTCAACCTTTTGCAACTCATCGTTCATGGCTAAATTCGTCATTTTTCCGTTTAGCAATCGGAGGCGGCAGAGGCCGCAACGTTATTCGGCACGAGAGTTTGTGGAAGCAGTTTCCGACAACGAGGCAGACATGGATACCGATGATGATGATGATGATGATGATGATATTGTCGGTGAAGCTGTGTACGATGAAGAGTATTTAAAGAGACGAAAAGAGAGGAGGAAGATGTCGAGTAGTTCAGAAGGAGATGAGGAGTATCGGTGGGATGGCGATAACGCTGAAGATGAAGAAGATGAAGACGAAGGAGACGAGTCGTTAAGTGCAAGTGAAGAAAGCGACGACAGCCCACGAAGAATCAAGAAGTTACCAGGCCGAACCCGGCGTGAAACGAAGCTCAGATCGGTTGCGGAATTCAAGTCGGGTCCGAGACGCAGTCGACGGGCCACTCGGAACCGGATAGATTACAAGCAATATGAATTCTCGGATACCGAACCGGAATCAACGAAGGCCGAGACGTCCAGTAGTTCAGATAAACACACAGAAGCAAGCGAGAAATCAGATAAATCCGGGTTTTCAATGGGAAGCAGCGAGGATTCCGAAGTCCCCAATAACGATAACGAAAACGACGATGATAATGATAATTATACCGAAGAAATGAAGATCGTCGAACCCGTTATTCAAGAAAACCCGAAGATTGAAGAGGAAGAACAAAAGATGAAGTTAGACGACAGCCCGGTTGAAGAGGAGTTCGAAAACGGTGCACAAAAACGGAGGTTTCTCGATCTAAACGAGCTTGCACCTGGTTCAGGGTTTGAAGACGGTCCGATGAAGGATGATGATGCAGATAACTTCGGAATGTGAATCAGTGAGTCATTTTTTAAGCAAGCCTGTTTCATACCGAGTGAATCGGTGAGTCATGTTTGAGTCGGGACCTGAGGCTGTTGCTTTAGATGTGGGTTTCATTTGATCGTGATGGTTATATCAGAGCATTTAGAAAAGCCAATTTGTTTGTTGTACTAATTTCTTGCATTTCATCCTTCACATGACATTATGTTTAGAATGTTTTGATATGGGTAGTTTAGTAATTTACTTATTTTTATTAGATCTTTTGTAACTTTATTCCACCCAGAAGTGGTCCTGAGAGGGAAAGGTAACTATTCAACTTATTTTCGTAAGTAGATTTTTTTTGTATGAATAGAGGTGTATCTGTTAATCTTTGAATGGTGCTCTAAGATAATAAAAAAATATCAATAAAAAAGTCTCTTGAAATCAAACAAAAAACCGAAAAAAGTCCCTTGAAATAAACAAAAAAAACTTAAAAATCCCTCGAAATCAACTAAACCATAAAAATCCATTGAAACGGTAAAATTCGACCAAAAACACATCAAACGACCTTGTGGTCTTTGATCCACCTTAAAGATGTATTCGCTCAACAAAAATCCTGAGTCTACTACTACTCCCCTGCTTTGGTGGGACAAAAAAAAATGTGTTTTTGTCCCATCCAAGTCTGCCTCCAGTCTAATATTGAACCAAACGTGGAACAACCGGTTCTTTTTACTCTTTGGGACAGAGAATATGTTTTTCATCATCTATTCACCAGGAAAAGAGTAGAGTGAATTTTATATTTTATTATCTAATATATTATTAGGTTACTAGTTTTAATACTTCTTTAATTTTAAAACTTGCAATTAACTAAAACAAAATATGTATAAAAATTACATTTTATTTGAGTTAAACTAGGGTAGGGTTCATGTTTCTTGTAAAGTGTGCTAGCGTGCTTCTATAAGGTTGTATTTGACCTAGCAAGAAGCATTTTAACACATTTTTCGGCTCTCGAGCATATTAGATTATCAGTTAAAGATGAATGATTTATAATTCTATTATAACACTTTTAACTCTATAGCTCATCAGTTGGATATGACTTACGGTTGTCAATTATGACCTGAGAAACTCGATGCATTTATTGAATGGATACATATGCATCACTTGAGTTTGACTAATTGTTGCATCCAAATTTAATTGTTGCATTTGCAGTATATAAATTTTATATTATATAACAAACCTTTGTCAACCGTACTCGTCCCCTCTTGCACCATAAGAATAACCACCTCCATCAACCATGAGATCTAAAGGGTCATTTGGTTTAAACACAATTCTATTGAATTTATGAATTCTACGATCGAGAGATTTATAGAAGCCATTGAATTCCTTGACCATTATCAAGAATCACACAATTTATAATTTTAAAAATATAAATTTAATATTTGAATCCAATTTAACCAACACTCCATACCTGCCATCACCTGCACCACTTTTGATTCATGTTATCGTTACATTTTATTTATAATTTAAACAAGAAGATGGTATTCCAAGTTATAGTTTATTTTGGACCAAAACGAATTGGAGCGAATTTGTATAACCAGAAATTTAGGATTCTCAATGAAAAATTTTGAAAATAACCAGTCCTAACCAATTTTAACCCGTTTAACATGTCATATTACTCGACTCGGCTCGTTTACACCCCCCTAGTCCCAGACTGGTAACCAATCTCAATCATTTTGATTTTTGAATGCCTGCCCAATCACCACCAGCTATAAAAAACAGACTATAATCACCTAGTAAAGTAAATTCCGTTCAGAAGTCAGGTAAGGGATAAGATGTACACAGACATGATACCCAAAGAGTAGAGCAATTGTGTTTATGTAGAAACCCCCATACTATGCAAGAGTGTAAACAATAGTTAGCAGGAAGAAGACAAAACGGCCAGTTACCAAATGTTTACCAAGTAAAAACTTACCAGCAAAAGTCACCATCCTCACCTTATCAGTAACATTCTAGGCCACCAATATGGATTGCTAGTAAGCATCTTTTACTAGGTAAACGCTTACCGGTAAGAGTCTTATCCTTTACTTACCAGGTAAGATTCTTGGTTCTGCGATACTCACCCGCTAAGATAAGTAACACAGTAAACTTTTACCTGGTAAAAGTTTGATAAACGGCCTCTAACAACACACTATGAACAAGGGGGAAAACAAAGGTGAAGTAACAAAGCAAGTCAGAACACACACAATGCAAGCATCGCATATTTCTCGATCTGTTTTCGACTTCGAAGGTAACGTTAGCACCACCGAGTTTTGATGAACAACAAACAAAGAGAACATGCCGGAATTCTAAACTTTAGCAGTACAAAGATCGAGCCTACGCTTACCTTCTGGTTTTTATGTGCGAACCCAAAATCAGAAAGTTGAAACCACCAATGACTGATCTATACCCAACCTCTTTCTCAATAGTAAAAATCCCATTTTCTAGTTTCTGAATCCGGATTACAATTGGCTTCATTTACTCGGACTCGAGTCACAAACATTTTCTTGGGTAACCCAAAACAAAGAGTCACAAACTTCTTCAAATATGATCCTTTTTTTTCTGGAAAATAAGTTGCTAAAAGGTGATGTTTTAAATGCAAATTGTAGACTCTTTTCCCTCCAAAAACTACTAATAGAACGGAAGGGATTTCAATAATAGTGAAAACGGTGACTTTTGTCGATTGAAACCTCCAACCATCGGACTTTTTCTGGGTCAAAACTTGTTGCATCCTCTCTCAGAAGACCAACTCTCCTAACTAAATTCCTTATAATACAGTTTTCGCAATTATATGACTTCTGAGCCGAGCCACAACAGATCCATATTCAACTTGGTGCGTCAAAAATGTTGTATATTTTTTTTCTCGGGTGTAGCTTAGTTTACAGCTTCATAAAAAAGAACCTGAGGTTGCAAATGCCCTTTTTCACACATGGAAAGGACATCTTCCCATCTTCCGATTACCTAAAGAAAGTAAATATTTATTAATCCGAAACTGTAACAGGAACTATGATTATGCGGTGGAAACGATTGCAGACTCCATACCTTTACAGTTTTATCATCATACATCACCCACCGTTGATGAACGTAGCTGTAGGCAAAGCAATGATAATGTTGTCCGTAATAGCACACCTTAAATTGGCAGCAAAGAATAGTTGCACGAAGTTAGACATGATAGAATGATGAATCTAAAAATTCTTTATGGTTTTGGAATCCTTCCGTCCCAAATAAATGCTCATAGTTCTAAAAATATGTAATTATTACACTTTAATTAAGTAAATGACGAATTATGGATAGAGGGAGTATTGAATTTCTCCTATCTCATACTTAAGGGTAGAATTAGAAAGTATGCACTTATTCTCGAAAGCAGACTGGACTAGACAGGACAAGACAAGCAAGAGTGAGGTAGGCGGGTGAAAGAATTGCGGAACGTTTTAGGATTTTAATCTAACATCGGTAGTTTGGTAATTAACCAAGTTTGTACCATCTCCTTGATTTACAATTTTGTCCCACCCAGTCCTGTTCGGTCACGGTCGAATTGTTGCACCAAACGTGGTATTTCAAGTTATTGTTCTATGTTGTCCTGTCCCATCTACCAAACACACCCTTAGGGTGCGTTTGGTACGCAGACAGGACAGGACGGGACAAAACAGGACAGGACAGCTGTTCAGCGTTTGGTAAGACATTATAGGACTGGACAGAACTGGTTAAAATGACCAATTTACCCCCGATGAGTCAATCCTAGAATTCTAACCACCATGATCAAATTAATCTACCATACTTCTAAACCCAAAGATGACATCAGATTCTAAACCCGAGTGTAAGCAACTTCCATTCTTCAAATCTCAAAATAGCAACAGCCGATTCAAGCAAAAAAAGCCCTAAATCGATTCAAACATAGCAACCCCAAATAGYGATTCAGATATAACAAAYCCTAAATCGTTCCAAACATAGCAAACAKAGRGCAATCGTGTACCTGATGAAGGAGAAGGTAGGGTGCGATGGAAAGGAACTCGTCGAGATAGGGCTGTCGGACTGCCATCGCCGAGAAGGTAGGGTGCGATGGAAAGGAAATTGTCGGACTGCCGTTGCCGTCACCGGTCGCCAGTCGAGTAGAAACAGCGTATGAGGTGGAAGCGATGGAGGAGAGGAGAGACGGTGGAAGCGTATGAGGTTTTTGAGGGAAGAAGGGGCAGTATGCGTATAAGGTTTTTGAGGGTAAAGTTGTAAAAAATTTCTTGTTCTACTTAGTTCCAGGGGTAAAGGGTGGACCACCGTGTCCACCCTTGTTCTAGTTAGTTCTAGTTAGTCCCACATAAAGCCACACCAAACATAGGAAAAGTGTGTCCTGTCCTGTCCTGTCCCACCCTGTTCCACGTACCAAACGCACCCTTAGAGAACCATGTTCAAGTTTCTCAACTTGGTAGTTCAGCCAAATGACCACTAGAGTTTATATCTTTGCTTTTTTAAACTATTGTTGCAACTATACATGTTAAAAGGTTGTATTTAGAATGGATGGTGGTTGAGTACAGATTTTATAGCATGGCTTTAAAGTGGTATATATGGATATGCATCACCATTAGAGATGGCCAAATATCAGTCCCGGTCCTTGCTTTCCTTTTCATAACCGGTCGCAGTCCTAACCGAAAACCCATGGCCCGGTCTCCATGTTTTGTAACCGGTCCCTAGAACCAGTCCCAGAACGGGCCGGGACCAAATCGGTCCTTACCGGTCCCGGGGCGGGCCCATTTTGGTCATCTCTAATCACCATGTAGCAAATGTTTGAAAAACCAAAGAAGAGATAACAGACTGGTCCATAGAACAGAAAAGATGAAAAGAGACAAAGTAAGGTTCAGTCCTCCATGGATATATCAAGCATGCACAAGATAGGGCAATAACGTAACCTAAGCAAATTCTGTCAAGAAGACACTTAGCAAGCAAAAGTAAAACTAGACTCTCAATTAAGACAAGAGAAGGCATTAACGGATAAATTTTCTATCATTACTAAGATTCTTTGATAGGAGGTCTAATAAAATGTGTTGAATACCATACATCAACAGGACCAATGACCACAGTTCTCAAATTAAGTGCAATATCAATGAAAGGTCCCGTACAAAAAATAGGGAATCAATTCAAACCCTGCAATGTGAACCTTGCGAATACTGGCTGTATAAATTATACAAAATCAGGCAGTCCCACATGCAGCAAGTGTTCGGTTTCCAAATATGAAAGTTGAAAGGCAGGGGTCTAATGTAGTTTGACTTTTTAAAGTTGGAAGACACGATATTTATGTCTATTTGGAGCAGTTTTTGAGGGTGAGTTCTTCGAAAAGGTAAAATTGTGAAAGGCATATTCAGGGTGTACATCATCATTATTATCTTCAATTAACAACGGAGTGGTAACTTTTTACGAGTCTTGCAAGCTTTTGGGGGCATACCTTATACTCCCTCTGTCCCAGAAAAAATGTCCACGAAGAAAAGGGCACACAGTTTTGAGAATATGTAATTATCACACCTTTTTTTCATTAAGTTTTACCCTTAATAATAGGAGCAATAATTTCTCCATCTCATAACTAAGAGTAGAAACTAAAAGCAGGTACTTATTTTTGAAAGTGGAAACTTATTTTGGGTCGAGGGAGTAATTATCATTGAGGAAGACTAAATGTCATGAACTATATGTTTCCAATTAGTTCAAATGAAAAAAATTGAAACACTGCCAATTCTAAAAGAAAATAATCTTAAGAGCGCTGTGTTTAAAGAGCTGTACCACTGAAACCAGACTGCGTTTGTTCCTTGGATCAAGTCCACGATAAAGAACACTTAAATCTATTTCAGTAGATAGGGCTGCCAACGTGGCCTTTATATCTTCAACACTTTCACAGGTGTTTTGCCAACCAAGTACTACAAAACAAACAAAAATATAATAGTTGTTAACGAAACGCAAAAACAAGCAGTGGTGTGGTGTGTGCTGGCTTATCATTGTTCTAGGAACACCTGTTGTGAAAACATGAGGTGGAGAAGAAAGAATGTGATGAATGTAGTTAAGCTTCCCACAGCCACCATCCTCAAGATCGCAAGCTAATTGATGATTCATTTCGACAAGATTTAGTAGCTCATCAAATGAGCTTTCTGGACACATGACCTGAAGGGTAAAACAAAAAAAATTATTGGTAATTCAGTGTGATTATCTAACGATGAGTTTACAAATTGAGCACATGGGTAGGAACATGCCTTCATGGTCCGAAGGGCATTGGCATTGATCTGATGAAAGAAAGAAGTATACTTCAGACGCCTAGTCTCCAAACCACAATTATAGCAATTCATGCGTTCAAAGATGTCCATTCCGAAAAGAGAATGTGCTGTACAAGCCTTATTTTGACACTCCCAAGAGCCCAGGGCATTGCTTTCCATTGGTTCAATATCAAAAACACCAGGACCAGATGTAAATGACTGGTGTAGGCAATCAAATATCACTCCCAATACTTCAGAAGCATCATTCATTTGTGCCTGTCAAATCGTTGTACATATTCAATATCAGCCTAACAGGTGCTTCAAGAAAATGCCATGCACAATGTTCAACTCAGTCACACTTCCCTGGCCTCCATTTTGCGACGCGACTAGACATGACTGGATGGGTGAGAGTCGGGTAGGCGGGTAAAAAAATTTGTGCAAGATTTTAGGGTTTTAATTTGACATGGGTAGTATGGTAATTTGCCAATCTTATCCCGTCTCCCTGATTTTTGTTCCACCTACTTTTGTCCCGCTCAGTCAAGTCCCACCCAATCTAATGTCGCACCAAACATGGGACAAGTTTTCGTGTTGTCCTGTCTGGTGTACCAAACACGCCCCCAATGTACACAAAAGCAAGCACATATATAACCTTTCCCAACAGAAAAGAGCTAAAGGGAAGCATCTACAATGTGATTATGTTTCTAACCACCAACACTCCACCCCAAAAGGCTGAATACACATACCTCCTGAAAGAAATTACTGTCCGGATACAAGTTGCTAAGAGCGATCCTAAGAGAAGTAGGAGCAACAGCCTGAACTCGTGTGTCCGTAGAAGCCATGTTTAGAGCAATAAAAATATCATATAAAGCGCATGTGACACATGGATCACCAACATGAAGATGAGCTGAAGTAGACATACTCAGAAATTCCTCCCGAAACCGTCTCAAATGCCATAAAGACTACAATTTACAGGAAAACATTACAAATTTATATCTGAGACAAGATAAAAAAAAAAGATCGGTAAAACATGAGATATTTAAAAACTACCTGTATAATCACATTCAGAAAACAGTTGTATTCACCAACTTCGTTCTTCAGGCCTGTACCATATACATCATTTCCTATTACATTGTTTGGAACGACTTCATTAGATGAAACACAAGAGTCTTCCCCATCTATAAGCATATCTTCAGGCATCGTTAATAGAGATATAGAAGGATACTTCTTGTGAGAATGAAATGCATCTGCCATATTTCAAAATAGAAATGTTAAAGCAAACCCAAAGAAATCATGCACAAATATAGTTAGAGAGTGTTACACATGTTTGCACGGAAAATATACACTTTTCAACATAACTAAAGCCACAGGAACTGGACCAAGGGGGTGTTTGTTTTCAACTTAATACAAGAAGATTGACTTAAGATGTTAAGTTATCCCATCCTATCTTATTAGATTAAGATAGAATTTTTTCCAAAATTATCCTTGTCCTACAATTTTTAATCAAGCGTCTCATTAAAAAATAAATAGTTTACCAACGTGCATAAATTAAAATTTGTAATCAAACAATAATACTTTGTTGTTTTAAATATATTTGAAGTTACTAAGTATTGTGTTATGAGCTCATTGAATTTGAATTCATATTTTTAAATAACTCATATTATCTAAAAGAAATTAAATATTTATCAGACAACTTATTTTTATTCAACACTTGTGTAGACATAAGGTTAAATTGAAATTTTTGGTGGTCAGACTATTTATTTAGGACAAGAATCAAACAACAATTTATCTTAATTCATCCCAACAGATTAATGCCTAGGGACAACTTAATTAATTCAGAACTTAATGGATAAAAAATCAACAGCCCTAAGTGTGTTTAATGTAGGACTTACATTAAGAAAGGAAGCTTATAAGTTAGTCCATGCGGGTTGCCTTAATATGGATATGGCCTATAAAAACGGCAGACTTTTGAATGCCCACAGGGTGCATAAGAAACAAAAAAGATCGATATGCAATGCCAAAGGTTTAATTGCCACCCATAGAGAGCAAAATTAGAAATGTGGCAAGAGGACAAAATCGCTCGGGTGCTTTAAGAGGATGCTAACCACATTCTGACTTTATAACCATGGAAGTCAGCCCCCCTCCCAAGGTTTTTTTTTTATCATTTCCCTTCGAATTACCACCCTGGCCCGAATTAAATGAACAGCTTACAGGAGGAAAAATTAAGATGGAATGGAGAGTAATTTTCTTCAACCTCCAAGCGATGCTAAGTTCCCCTTCTCTCAGACAATTTGACCAATTGGGGCTTACAGAACAGTCACAGGCAAAGAAGAACACAAGGGAGTCTCAGCCGACAAGGCAGCCCAAGAGTCCTGCCAATGTGTTGTTAATTTATGAGGTTCAAAACTAGTGTTTAGAATTTTCGTTCTTCAGTTCCAGTACTAGCTTGACGATCTATTTTATCACCTAACATGTGATATCTAATACCAGGAAAAGAATGGTTTTGTCTATATTTCCCATTTAGATATAGGGCTGGAGTGATCAGAAATTAAAAACCTGAGTTAATTATCAGCACTGCAAACTAGTGTGCATTCCACACCCAAATCCAGGTTTTCTCCCTTAAAATTATTAAACCATGAATGCACCATCTCATTACTCGGTACTACAAGGAAGATCATTTTTCAGAAACAGGAAAAATAACATAGACCTCCAAAGATCTAGAACAATTTATCCAGAATAGATGACTACTGAACACCCAGCATGATGCATGAACCAGGTGAAATGGCACAATACTGTTTTCTTTCTTCAAACCAAGCTCAACCTAGTTTCACAAATAAATCCTCTCGTTTACATTTTTTGGTTTACAACAAGTGTTGTGCTTAAAAGGGTAAAACACTTCTGGGTTTACAACCATAAAAAAGGTATTAAAAACTTGCAATAAAGGTGGAAAATATAACTGATCCTTAATAGGGTGTGTTAGCATCCTCTACCCCCATCAAAAACCTCTCATCTTCTCTGACTTGGTAATAACATGGACACCCATTATTGCAGATCCTCTGCCTCTGGAGGGTGGCCTCTGGTTGTTACTCAAGAGAGCCACCCTTTTGTTCACAATCCTCAAACTTCCTAGCAAGTAGCAACACAGTTCATATCACACCAGCATTATGCATTTGTAGATCCCTGTTGGTCTCATGCCAGTAGACAGGAGGTTATCATTCCCCATGCAATAACATACTTAACATATTAACATGCCCACCTCTACTGTCCACCCAAAGCCCCAAAATACATGCTACTGCCTTACCTAACCCACCATACATTTGAGATCCAGCCTACATTTGTGCTACATTCCGAATCCGCTCCTTCCACTATTCAAGCTTTTACTGCATCAAGCTTTAACGAACGGTCTCCTTTTATCTCTTAGGCCATCATCTGACTGCTAAGACCAACCTTTAAAGGTCATGACCATTCAAGGATCTTCAAAAACCAACATACAGTTCTGCCCCAGGCTATGGTGACCTATATCTTTCATTTCTCTAACACTCATACAGATACTTCCATCCAGTTCCAGCTTAGGTCAATCAGTTACCAACTTCGATAATGTCAGCGTAGATTTAACATGTTTCTAGTTGAGCTTTTTATGTCCTATCTCGCCCAACAAAGTCATTTGTGTGATCGCAAGACCTCCCATTATCAATCAGCAGAACTTGTATTTGTTCCAACATTATGTCCACCAAGTACATCTTGCAGGGTAGTTAGGCAGATTAATGACATTAACTTGAGGTCCGTGATACTAATTTCAACTATGGAAAAAACCTTAACATACCTGGTCCACAGGTTGCAGTTTCATTAAGTTGTTTGTTATGTTTTGAGCTTCTAAAACATGCTCTGTCAAGATTTTGGGTGTTTCCTTATTATTGTAGTCACCATTATATCTTTGTAAATGAAGAGTGTAAGACTTGAGTTTTCGTGCATCATAACCTAATTTTTCTTAACTAAAGCTGTATATACAGTAACTGATAAATATAGCTCAACAATTTGATTATTTTACATTAAGATAACCAGAAAGTGTAGAGATTGACATACCAAATGTCAACTTTAAGATATACACTTGGTTGGATAGACGTACCAACTTTGAGCATATATGTGCTTTATCAAGTTCTTGTGTATAGTTTGGCAAGTCAAAGTTGTTAATAGCGACAATCCAGAATCCAAGTAACATATAATCAATTAGCTAAACAAATGGACTAATACCAATGACAGAACTCCATATTGCCTCTAAAAAAAGGTATTTGCTTTCCCCTTACAGAGAGCCTACATAAATAAGGGTAAAAGTTGAGAAAGGACAATGCCATCTGTAGCAATAACTAAAATAGACAGCAGGGTTCCCTAGCTTCTTGCTCCAAGTGAATTTCTCGACCACTCTCAGATTAAGAGCAACACCTTCTCATCTAACTAGGAATCCAACTCTTTGACCATATCTGGGATAGCATATTGCCTATGAACTATACCTTGAACCATCGACGTGTCTACATGGAGAGCACAATATGAAACACCTAACACATCCCATGGTAAATCAAAAGATAAATTTTGAAGACTGTTCTAAGTGGCTTCACATACAATAAAAGTAAAAAACATTCAGGTACCAACAGACTCGATTAAATTAGATGATGACATCTTGAAAGCACTCTCCATCAGTAAAGAGGGGTTAAATTAAGATGATTATCAATGCCATGAAATATTGATCAATCAGAATGTCCCAAATAACATCAAAATCATGACCATGTCTGTTAGTAAAAAGCAAATTATACCGAGGCTTTGGCGGACAGCTTTTGATAGGTCAGCTTGGAACCTCTTTTCGTCATCATCTTCTGCTTGCAAAACGCCAAATATCTTTGTCTCATTATATCCTGAAGAAATATCTGTCGTCAAGTGGTACAATACATCAGCAGCTGATATCTTAATGTCACAGAGAAGATGGGAAAAAAAGATGCTGCACTCCAGTAATTAACAAGCCTCTATTCATTTACTTCATTTTTTTATATTTTTCGTTTATGCCATCCTTGCTTTGTCATAAAGCAATTGACCATAGGGACCTCTGCACATTAAACCCATAGTAGCCAGCCTGCTTTATACAAAAGAAGTTATAACAACTGTATGGAACGAAATGAGTATGACAGGAAACAAATAGACCCTACAATTTTGGAGAAGCGTGACCAATGTTCAATAATTAGATATAAGCGTTTACCTGATCACACCAAACAAGATTGATATTACCAAAAACTTGAAGTAATAGCACGGCACCTTCAATTTATGAGTAATGTCAGTTTAGGACTTCTTGAATGTTATTACAGATTGCATCTTATTCTTAGAATTTGATTGATGTGTACCTAGTGTGCACAAACATGGGAAATTGCAAATACAGCATGCATTTGACCCGATCCAACATGTATGTTTAGAGCCTTTAAAAATGTTCAGATTTGGTAGCCCTTGTGTGATAGGTGATGAATTAAAGTATTGCTCCTCACAATGTGCTTCTTTCCAGCTTTTTGAGCCTTCCATGGTTCATCCAACACAGACAAGCAACCATTGCAAAGCCCAATTGTAATCACTTGGCTCAAAATTCACATAACCAATCAGTCTCAATGTGAGCATGCAAGTCAGAGTAGCTTTCTAAGTATTCTTCCATCTCTATCTTTCAATGCAGTCCAGATAAAGATAACAAAATGAAAAGGAAAAAACCAGACAGGAAAAGTTAAAACACCTATCTCCTGCCATAATGTAAAATGTTCAGCAAATATCAAAATGCCTAGGGTGCGTCGAACGAGCTTGGAGATTAACCCCACTTTTGCAAAGCCACATTCAATACTGATTGAATGTAGATGACAAGCCAACTTAACTTGTTTACAGTTCTAGCAACCATCAACATCAAAATGAAGAAAAGAACTCCACAAGAATATCAAAAATAAATGTTCATCAAGATATGAACCGACAAAAAAAATTCACATATCAGTACTTCCTAACAATTAATTACGGTAAACTACCAAAAAAAGAAACCCAACGTGCAAAGTCCAGAGAAGAGATTCTAGGGAGGATCTAGCAGCACAGGCTCACAGAAACACACGAAAATAGGTGATCTTCAGGATTTAAACATGTGCAAAACCAAGAACCCAAAGATCGCGGATTGCACATAGGCCATTTCGGTATGTTATTATTCTCCCCATAATGGATACCTGATAAATTTTGAGTTTTCACTACTTAAAAGTGTACTTAAAGTTGTCCTGTGTTTCAAGATCAGCAAGGACGCTTGTTGTGTTGAGGGAGCTCCCTCTCTCACAAGCGCTGATCATATATCATAGAGAAGAACATAGAATTCATAAGATAACTTATAGTGTAATAGAGAATCTGTTAGGTATTCATCTCAATGCCAATTTTGGCTATGAGCACCTTCAAATGATAGATGTTGAAGAATTAGTTGTTATTTACCAAATAAGTAAGAAAAGCACACCCGCTTACGTGTTCACAGCTTATCGGTTGAGGCAAACACATGCAGAGACAGCACATCTACAAGTCTCTGAGACATGAAAGGAAAAATGATAGTGCATCTGTCCTAGACCCTAATCCTATGTAAATCATCCTGCGATTTCATCTGAAAATCAATTGGTCACAACAGGATACCTATTGAATAATGAATTATTATTATTATTGATGAACTGATTGTCCTTGACCAGATAGGATGAAAACTTCGCTTGATAGGTGTTAGATCCATGATATAGATTATTGCTAGTTCCTTCAAATGTAGATCACATTATTCCATGATTTATATTGCCATCAGTACACGAGGACAAGCAAATGCTATCAGTGTTTGCTGATGGTTCTTGTTGGCTGCAGCTTCTTGCATTTTCAACTTTTTACATCTAAGGCATCCCCATAAGACCTACTACTAATTTTTAGTTCTGGAACTAGATCATTACACCAGGGGGGAAAGGAAAAACAAAAAGGATGTAGAATTGGAGAGGCACACACAAAACTGATGGAGAATTGAAGAGAGACACAGTGACACACACACATAATATAAGTATATATAAGGAACAAGACATATAAGGAGGCATGCTTGAGTAACCACAAGTGATGGCTGAACAGAAAGAGAACAGCTCTAAGACAACTCAAGTATGTAGAACTTGTCAGAGTATAAATGGAACTTACTACTATCACCCTGGAAACTGTCACCGTATATAACTTGTCCAAATTCAGTAGTTTCCTTTCCAGATGACGCCGGTTGCTGTCTTCCTTCAACTAGCTTGGTTGTATTTTTTTGCCGCCTACCTCTTCTTCCTGTTCTACGCTCAGAAAGCAAGGCACCATCCTCAACTATTCCTCCATTAAGTAAACCTACACAGAAAGAGAACAGCATGTAGTCCAATTAGTCCAATACGTTTTCTTTAATTTGCATTATGAATTATAAGCACTACCAATACCAATCCTCTCTAGAACTCCATCTTCAGCCTTGCCAGAAGCATCTTCAAGGGGGCTAAGAAGTCCATTGATTTGCTTCATAGGTTCCTAGAAGAAAAAGTTGGTAAGCCACCCATACTATGAAATTACATTGACCCAAAAGGTAATTATTTTGACGCTGTTCTCATAATGTCCTTTATATCTACCAACCTCCTACTTCATTTAACATAATAGGGACAGAAAACTTAACATGTGCCTAAGTAATATCATCACAAAGATGCTCACCAGCCTAGAAGGTTTACGTTTATCATCAACATGATTACCAATGTTATGCTTCATGTAGACATCAGAAATATCTACTGGAACCATGCTCATTGGGATCACTTTTGAGCTATTTTTCTGTTGCTCTGCAAGATGTTTTTGTTTAGCCTCATCCTCAATTCTTCTTTGATATTCCAATGTCTCTTCAAGCTTCCTTTCCTCAGCTTCAAGTTCGATTTTTCTACGCCTGGCTTCATCTACATGTTGATGGAAAGCAACACCAACTTCGGCACCACTTTCAGTCGGTTGTCCATCTATCATGAGTGCAGTGGAGGAACTGAGAACACAGACATTTCCATAACATCAGAACAGGGATAAAAAAACAATCCTATTGTGAAGATCAGAGCATGATGAGGAAGCACATACGCCTTTTCTGCATTCTCAAGGGGTAAAACATGTAGCTCACCAGTGCTTATCGCCTGCACATGTAACAGTATGTGTATTCTCAACTTATGATCTAATTAAAGATAAGAGTTCACAATAATTTTTTTCAAACCTTGGAATCCTTCGTTTTTCTGAATTCCTTGTTCTTTCTTTTATCCTTTAGCTTATCATTAAGATGCTTTGGGATACCTCCGAACCCTTTTTTAGAATCTAGAGCAAGTTCTGCCAAGAAAGCTTCTCTGGCAGCATCTGATTTCTCTGTAGCATCTTTCTCTGCTAAATTCTCTATGTGTGCCTGAAGAAAAAACGAAAATAGAAATAAAAAAAATCGCACTTCTAAGGGCCTTCATAGCAGGGATAATACATAATCTCAAAAACTGCCTAGCAAGTTGTCTACGAACCCGTAAATATGATTTTACAAGAGGCACAACTATGACTCCAAAATCATGAGCACATAAAGGACCTAACTTGGCTTCCAACTGCTGCATTCCAGAGACATTTCGCATGATCCGGGCATCTATTTTGCTAAGCTGCATTTCTGAAAAGGTGAGATAAGGTGGAGAGACTGAACATAAAATTTCTGTATAAAATACATATCTCCATTTATTCAAGCTAACCTCTATAGACAACTGTTCTTTCTGTTTCTGGATTGCAACTTCTATGCAAGAATCCAACTGATGGAGATAGTCATTCATCCTCCAATCATCTTCGCCGGCTTCTAAGTCACATACATGCGAATTTGCACCACCATATGTCTCCTCAAACCCAAACTGGTTAACGTTTAAAGATTCTGCTTCTTTTAGAACATTTGTCAAGGCCTCCAACTCAAACTGATTGACACAGGTAAGCTCCTTGTCATGTTCAGTAAGTTCATCTCGTCGCTTCCTCAAAACAGACTCGTAACTTTGCCGGACAAATTCTGTAGCATGCTCTCTTCTCTTACCTTCTTCTAGACAGAGATCTTCAACTAGCTGCAATGCTTCCCCGTAGTTTATATGCTCCAACTTTCTATCACATAAGCTCCGCAGATGGAAAAATTCCTTACCAAGCATCTCTAGGATCACAATCCCTTGATGCATCTTCTCCTCTCTAGTGCATGTCCAGAGTGTCAACTGCTCTCGACTTGTGTGACCAGAAAATATCCAGGACAATAGAGGATCATCATCATGTGCTAACCTGTTCTCAGAGCAAATATTAGCGGCGATTGCATTGCCTGCAGGATTATCTTGGTGAGTGGTCACACTTAGCTTGAACGGCAAAGAACTCTCATCCAACAAGAGACTAGAACCATCTTCATCAATAACTACTTTCTCGGCCATTTTGGTCACTTGTATGACACTGTTCAACTCTTCCATGGCATTACTTTTCTCTGAATACCTACCTACTCCACAGGAATGAGATAGTTCTTGCAAGAATATGAGCACTTTCTTGAGCTCTTGTGCTCCAAGAAAGCATATACAAATGGGTGAGTTCTCCACACTGCAGTTGAGAAGCTGAGGGTGCAACTCCTCAACTGCAAACTGTATAACCTTGGTAAGATGACTAGCTGCAAGGCACTTATGTTTGATAAGCAACTGGAATAAAGCTTTTATTTTTTCAAGTAGCTTTGTGCGCTCAATGTCGTTGGATGAAGGCCAGCTATCAGGACTAAAATACCCCTTGCAACCTTCACTTTGATTGCATTCCATTGGGACACAATCAAGAGTCTTGGCATGCTTTCTGCTCCCCACAATTATAGCGTTGCAACTATCCTTGTGTTTTTTTTGTCCAAATGATGAATCCCATGCATCATCAGAGCAATAACTGTCACCAAAATGGTCATTAGCTAATTCTGGGTTCTTTGTGTATGGTCTATCAACAAAGTTAGTAACAAGGGAATTCGATTGCAGCTCAATCATCTTAACTGCAGCATTAACATCCAATGCTTTCCAAGGAAAGGTCAGAAGCATTTCGGTCCACTCATGGTCAACATTTGGAGGCAACATTGCCTGCAATTTCGGCAATAAGCTATCCATGTGCTCGCGTACAACGTGTTGCTTGTGCAATTCAGGGTCTGCAAATTTCTCACTGCATCGACAGCACATCCAAAACCTCCAACCATTATTATCCACACCAAATGATAAAGCTTCCGAAATGACATCATATGCCAACCCATCTTTTAGTGATCTAAAATGGGCCTTAATATCCGATATCCTTATCTTGAACAAGTCTTTCTTCAAATCCCTACCCATGGACTTCCAATAAGGGAGAATACTATCTTTTCTCTCAGAAGCAGATGCATTCTTCCTCGCCTTTCCACTCTTCTTTCGTTCACTTGTTCGCTGACCAGGCCCAGCAGAAGGTTCTGAACCCTTATCTACATCACTTTGGGATAAGGACGACTCTAATTTCTGCTGCAACAGCCTYGCTGCAGCCACTTTAACTTCAATCTCCTTCTTCCGTTCCTCTTCGGTCTTATTTGCTTTCTTGATGTCATTTGGCCTTCTGGCTTGAACTACTCTTATATCCATTGGGTCTTCAGGAACCCTCCTGATAGGAATAATCCTAAATTTGTCCTCCCCGTTTCCTAGATTCTTCATCCAACTTGAAATAGAACCAAGGTTGGCCTTTTGAAGCAATGCACGAAGCTCGTTCTGCACATGCGCGATCCTTGCATCCGCTGCAGAGATCTTCTGCTGGCTCTCATCCTGCAAACTCTCCTTCCCAGGATCTATTGGATTCTTAATGGCCAGTGCACGCTCACACTCATGCACCGAGTCCTCATAATCCCTTCCGTCATTAGCTGCTTCATACAGCAAATTTGCATAAAAATGTGCAAACTCAACAGAATTTGGCGATAACATCACCGCCTTCTTAGCCGACTCGATCGCGTTCTTCACATACCGCTGTTTTGCATTAGGATCATCAATAATGGAAGCAACCTTAACACACACAGTCCCTTGAACTCGATGAATCAACGACAAGTAAGTCGTGTTGTCGTGTTTGGCACACATCTCCTTCATCAACCTTAAGGCTTTCTTATGATTCCCACGTCGAAGCGCATTTAAAGCTTTCTCGCACTCAACTTTCACAGCAGAGTAACCATCCGATTCAATCGCTAATGAAACTTCACTCTCTAGGTTCGGCAGTTCCTCTTGTACAACCAACGAATTCACACCCAAATTCTGTTCCATAGTGAGTGAGCTAACATCACCATCACCGCCATGGTCGTTAAGCGGCGATGGAGAAGGATTAGCAGGCTTGGGGCGAGTAGTGACGTTTCGCTTCTTACGCCCCATGTGTGTGAATTGCAGCTTACTTCAAAGCAAAAGGCAGGCCAGAATTCATATGCGTAGAGGTAGATACATAGAAAGACTTACTGGAGAGAGAAATGGTGATGATATGAGTTGGAATCCCAAGGCGGTGGTGGTGGTGGTGGTTGGTGGCGTCCCACCGCAGCGATCGGCGTTGTTGTATCGAAAGAGGGCTTTTTTTTATCCCTCGGTGGTTTTCAAATGTGGCATTTGACATTGACCCTTTTTCTTGATTCGCATATGCTCGCATTTAACCTCACGCCTCCCGGTACAAATTCTCTTTTTAAATTAATTAATTATTTATTTATTTATTTATTATTTTTAATTAAAATACTGGTGTAGGTTTTTAGGTGGCGTTTGTTTTTTAAGAGGTGCTGAAGTCTGAATTCACTTCTGAATTTTAAAAGGTGGTGCTGAAGTCTGAATTCACTTCTGAATTTTAAGAGGTGGTGCTGAAGTCTGAAATTTGAATCAGTCAGACTGTTTGTTTTTACGTCTGAAATCTGAAATCTGAATCAGTATACTTGACAAATATAAACGTGATATGTAATTGTGTAATCATAAACCATTACCCAATCAGTTATACAGTTAATCAATCACATGTAATAACAATCTTTAGCTCATCATCTCTAAGCCCAAAAGCAGCCCAAGGCTGCTGTAAGCCCAGACCAGCAGCAATGAGAAGGAGGAAAAACCAGCCCAAGTTGCTGCCCAGTCCTGAAATCGGCAGCGAGAGAGAGAGAGAGACGTGTGCAGCGAGAGTTCGGGAGAAGGAGCAGCAGATCAGGAGATCGTGGGTGAGTTCGAGGAAGATCGTGGGCAAAGATGGGAGCAATTAAAGAGGACAGCAGCAAGCTGTCGAAAAGGGAGAGGCTGGTCGCGTGGAAGGAGAAAAGAAGGAGAGGGCGGTCGCGAGAGGAATCAAGCAGCCGGCTGTCGTTTGAGAGAAAAACCGAGGACGAGGGTTGTCGATAGAAAAAGGGGCTGTCATCAAGCAGCAGGAAGAAATCGAGAGGAAGAAATCGAGAGGAAGAAATCGAGCAGCCGAGAGGAAGAAATCGAGCAGCAGGGGGCTGTCATCAAGCAGCAGGAAGAAATCGAGAGGAAGAAATCGAGCAGCCGAGAGGAAGAAATCGAAAGTGGACAGCAAAAGGATAGAGGCGAGAGGGAACATCGAAAGTGGACAGCAAAAGGGGCTGTCATCAAGCAGCCGAGAGGAAGAAATCGAGCAGCAGGGGGCTGTCGATTGGAAGCAGCAGAAGAAGGAAGGAAGCAGCAGCCGAGAATAAGGGGAATCAAATTAAGAGGTTTTCAGAGTTAAATTTACATCTAACCGATTCAGACAAAATGAGACATTTTCAGCACTTAATTTATAAAAAAAACAAACGCACTTAATTCCTCTAGGTCTGAATCAGACTTAAGAGGCAATTAAGTGATTTTTTAGAAAAACAAACAGGGCCTTAGTGTGAAAAACTCGAATGGTTTGAAATCCGAACCCGAGCTGAAAGTCAAGTGTTTTGTGAAATCCGAATGTCCATAAATCTGAAACCCGACTTTGGGGGTTATTTGAGTTCGGGTTGGGTTTGATTTTTGACCATCCGATCCGCCCGAAATATGTATACATGTATATTTTAAATGTAAATATATTTATCCATCTAATTATTTTTTGAGAATCTCAAACCCTAGTTGATCATGCTATTTTCTAATATCTAAACCTACTAATGATTTTATAAACCGATTGAATATATATAATTATTTGCATTATAACTATATCCAAACTTGAGACCGACCTCCACGAAAATCCGATCGACCCGAACCTAAAGTAATCCAAAATTCAAAAATTGGGGCATCGTTTCCACATTCGAAATCAAATTGGATTTTCGGTTTGTCCATCCAAACCCATCCGCCCTGCCCGATGCACATCCATAAGATGAAATTCTCCAAATTTGAAGAATTTTCTGAAAATGATTAAATGTATTTTTATTTATGAGAGAGAAAATATTTTTTTATTCTTTCTACCAATGAGGTTGTTTGAAATTAAATGTTTATAATAAATAAATAATATTTTATGAATTGTATTCAATATTTTAATAATATAATTAATAATGTAATCTCCGGCATGAATAATCTATTGGAAATGAATGTAATTCTTTTTGAAGCTTTTAACTTTGTAGAGGTGCTAAAATAAAGATTTTGGAGATTTTAAGTAATATTTTTGTTTAAATAGACAAAAGAAGAGAGAGGGTGTAGACAACTCTTATAACTCTATTTTTAAGATAAATAAAAAATTTAATTCTCTCTCATCAACATGAGACATTGAAATTAAGTGTTTAGAATATATAATAATGTTTTATTAAATGTATTGAAAATATTTTAATAAATGTATTTACTGATATAATTGTTAAAATAAAGTAGTTTTTACAGTTGGATGTAAAAAAATTAACTCTTTGATACTCTATTTTAAGAAAATTATAGCATGATTGTTGGATATGCTCTTACTTCTCCATTTAAAATAATTTGTTAGAGATGCTTTTACACTCTTTCTCCTACTTTGTCCATTTTGAAGAAAAAATTTGGAAATCTGTTGTAGCAACAAACATGGCCAAAATCTCAAAAAAAAAAAAATCTATTTTATCCATTTTTGATAATTTGTTTCAGATGCTCTTAGAGCATCTCCAGAGATTTTGGGAATTTTTGCTCTAATAGATTATTCAAAATGGTTAAAGTATGAGAGGGGGCTAAAATTCTCCAAATTTAGAGAACTCTCTAAAAATGATTACTTATGAAAGAGATTACATTTTATTTTCCTTACCAATAATAATCCTTGAAATTAAATGTACATGGGAGAAAATTAATATTTTTATTAAAAAATATCGAATGTATTAATTATTCATATTGTAGTCTCCAAAATGGAGAAATCGCTAGATGAGTGTAATTTCTTTAAAGATGTTCAGTTTTGATTTTTCATTATAGATCATCTGTTGGAGATGCTCTTACATTTCATGTGTGTCCACAAATCACATGAATAAACATTCTCGAAGAGAAAATGTGAACTTGAATTAAATAGAATTTAAAGTATATGAAAATCATATTGGAGACGTCCAACCCCTCTATTGCTAAAAACCCCTAAACTCGTTCGACAAACCCTCGAGCTCTTTTTTAGACGAAAGTTACAGTAATTCGATATAGTTACTCGATGGAAGTTGTTGAAGGTGGAAGGTATATAGGAGATTATAAGTAAGATTCATCCAATTATAACGATTCTCTTGTAAATTAGCCTAATTCGTCAGCTGGTCTACCAAACTACCTTTGTAAAACTTGATTCTCTTGTTGAATGCTATAACTTATAAATATTTTGTAATAATCTTTAGCAATTGCCCATGTTTTATTTATAAACGTTCAATTGTTTATATATGAAGTAACGTACATTCAATGTATGAGTGTTTATGTAATATATCAAGTGATAGTCGAAAATATGACAAGGGTTATATGGATACTTGACGGATCTATAGATACTCCACGGTTGTTTGACGAGTTTTATGTATATATCAATTAAAAATACAGATTTCCCTTCGAATATACTGCTCGATGGATTCTATAGCTACTAGATGATTGCTCGACTAGTTTTTGCATATATTAATGAAAACATCAGCAAGTTCAATTAATTTTCAATTTACATTACTGCATAAAACACTATCATATTTAGTGATTATTATATTAATGAAAAACCCGACAACTTTTCCAATACCGCTATACACCTTCGCCTTAAATTTCTCTTAAACCCGTCCCTCGTCTTATCTAGTATATTGAATCTCTCATCGAAACCATTAACTAAGTCGCTCTACATATCTCACTTTCTCCTTCTATAAATATATAGAGTGAGAGAGGGAAATTCACCTATAAAATATGATTTTTGTTGCAAATCGGGGAGCAACTAAGGGTGTGACACGTGTTGCCATTAATCTTGATTAATGCACGTGCATTTTTTTACAAAAATCTTGATGAATGTTCCAGACAGGTGGTCGTTCTTGTTGCTCCCTCATTTCGCAACAGAAAACAACTTCTCAACCAAACCAGTTCCACACACACATGTAGATATTATTCACTAATGAATAATATCTTGTTCTATATCATTAGAGTATCTTAAGCATTCCGATTACTTAATCATCTATACTATATTATAAAACATATGGCTAAAACTCTTAAACCCGTTCATCCCTATCCGATTTCATCCCATATCTGAATTCGTGTAACTAATTGCATATAAACACAATCAAATACAGGATAAACATCTCATTTTAAATATAAAAAATCTAAAGTATAATTAGTATAATCATTAAATTATAACAGAATACTTAATTATTATCTTTATAAAATTTATAATATTAAACAAAAAAAAATTGTTTTATTATTAAACTTAAATTAAATTATATAAAAAAATATATTCTATATTATAAATCATTTGACAAAAACTCTTAAAAACCACTTTTTATGCGTAAAATACTGTTTATTAATGCATATTACTTAAAACTCAAGATTACAAGTAAATTGTGCGTATGTACAACTTATTAAGCTCCATATCTGAATTCGTGTAACTAACTGCAGATAAACACAATCAAATACATGATAAACATCTCATTTTAAATATAAAAAATCTAAAATATAATTAGGATAATCATTGAGTTCTAACAGAATATTTAATTATTATTATCCTTATAAAATGTTATACTGTTAAACCAAAAATAAATTATTTCATTATTAAACTTAAATTAAATTTAAAAAAAATAATTTATACTATATTATAAAGCACTTGACAAAAACTCTTAAAAATTACTTTTTATGCGTAAAGTACTGTTTATTAATGCATATTACTTAACACTCAAGATTACAAGTAGATTGTGCTTACGTACAACTTAGTAAAGCTCCATATTTGAATTCGTGTAACTAATTGCAGATAAACATAATCAAATACAAGATAAACATCTTATTTTAAATATAAAAAATCTAAAA